GAGTGGTAGATGCCTAAAGTTTTCTGCAAAGAATAGTTCTGTGCACCTTTGAAAGAATTGATGATGATGGGGCATTTCTTAAGAGAGTTTTTCCGCATTCTCCAGGGTTTTTTCCACATGCAATTGACACTTGGTAAAATTTGATGCTGGCATGTTCTCAATCTTACCAGAAGGTATCAATGAGAGAAAGATTTTCAGACAATAACCAAGTCTCTTATCCTCTCCTCAAATGGTCCTTAAGTAGTTTGTTGAATGACATATCAAGAAGTTGTACTTATCCAGTCAAACCAATGTCTGCATGTGCAAAGAAAGACAACTTCATCAATACTGCCATGAGGGAGCAGCTATTTTAACGTGCTATTGCTTAAAACACCCCAATTTCATAAATGGTAATGTAAAAACATATGAGTGTGAGAGCAGATCTGGACAAAATTCTCAGAGCTTATTAAGAAAAACTGAGAGCTGAGAGGACACAAACTATCCTAAGTTCCTCATCTTTCAGTGAAAGGAGTCAATGGCTATGTTTTAATTTTAGAAGTTGACATATTTGTAAATTTGCTCTTAAATTTACTTTTAAAAATGTGAAAGTAACTACTAGTAATGAAACAAAATGGAAATGAAAGAGAAATAAATCCCAAATATTATAAGAAACTTTCAGGCTAGGTCAAAATACCAAAGCAATATCAACTGTTTCATAAAAGTTATTGCATACTAAAGGATGATCCAAATTACACCTAATAATTTAATAAAAATATGTGAATAACAATAGAAAGAGTACAGACCTCACTTACCATCCAAGTGTTTAAAAACTAGAAATTAACAAAAATATGAATAAAAATCTCAATCACACTACCCTTTACTCAGAACAGTTGGAAATTAATAATGATATATATATATTTTAAGATTTTATTTATTTAATTTTAGAGAGGGGAAGGGAGAGAGAAAGAGAGGGCGAAAAATATCAATGCATGGTTGCCTCTTGAGTGCACTCTATGGGGGACCTGGCCTGCAACCCAGGCCTGTGCCCTGACTGGGAATCGAACCAGTGACCCTTTGGTTCACAGGCCAGCAATCAATCCACTGAGCCACACCTGACAGGGCAATAATGTTATATTTTAATGACTTTGGTGTAGTTACTCCAAGGAATTTTTTTACTAGTTATAAACGTGTTCATTTACAAACAAGAAAAAAATAAATGAATTTTAAATAGATAAGATGGAAAAAGAACAAAACAAACCTTACATAATTAGAAACTTATCATTAACCTATTTTTAAAAACCAAATAGAGAAACCATTCATATACACAATTCAACAATGGGAAAGAATATAGAACTACATAAAAAGAGGGAATGTAAAGAATTATGTATATGACTCATAAGTTCCTATGCAAATAATTTGAAAATTTGGATGGATAATTTTTTAGCAAAATATAAATAACCCAAAGTGAACCAAGAAGAGGATGGGGGTGGGGCAGGAAGCACTCCTTAAGAAAGTGACAAGCTGAAGCAATTTTATTGGTGAGTTCTTTCAGAACTTCAGGGAACACGTAAAGCTGACATTTAAAAAATGTTTGAGGGAACTGAGGCCAATGGAAGTTAGCAGCTTGACCCTACCCCACATCCGTATGGGATTTTAAGGGACAGGGGTTGATCAATCCCAGCAGGATTAAATGAATGACTAGCAATGTCAGCAGGTTTCCATTATCTTGGCAAAGAGAGGGTAGCGCTTGAAGCACGTGAAATAGCAAGTGAGGACACAAGTTCTACAGGTCTGTTTGGGGATTTACTCTGATTCTATCTGAGGAAAATATCACTTCACTAAATTCATATATGAATTGAAAAGTTATTAGCTTTATGGCTTTGTTTGTATTTTATTTGTAAATTTGTGTTGGTTTTCATATAAAAGTGATATGCAAAAAGAATGAGGGGAATATGTAAACACACATTATGTTTGTATGTATTTAAATAACTGTTGAGTAGAAAAAGGTCAACACTGAGATCTGTGAGAATATTTTTTTTCCTTTCAAAGAAGGATATATATAATTCAATTTCAGAAAGTCTGCTTAGGCTTTGGAGAAAGAAAACAACTCTTTCCTTAGAGTTGGACTTTCTCTGCCTCTTCTCCACACTAAAATGGTAAGTTCATAGGAAAAAATCTGGGTGTGGAAAAAAAGAAAAGAAAAAAAATCTGGGTGTAAGAAAATGGGAGAGTTGCCAAGTAGGACCTGGGCTGTCTTGTCAAGCCTCTTGGGCCTGTGCAATAGCCAAATTAAACCCTGCAGCTCCAAGGTAGTATAATTCAGCTCACAAGCAACAGGGTTTCCACACAGGGATTCAGTGGCAAAAAACCTTAGAGTTATAAAGAAAGTAATTCTGCCTTGTGTCTCCTCGACACATGGATCTTGAAAAGCTGTGGCAGCAGCCGTGGTTGGTGTAGCTCAGTTAGTTGGAGTGCTGTCCCATAACTGAAAGGTAGAGGATTCAATTCCTGGTCAGGGCACATATCTAAGTTGCAGATTGAATTTCCGATCTGGGCGCCTATGGAAGGTGACCAATAAATGTTTCTCTTTTGAATCAATGTTAATCTCCCTTTCTCTCTCCTCCCTTTCCCTTCTCTAAAATCAACAAGCATGTCCTCACATGAAGCTTAAAAAACCAACCAACTAACCAACCCATGGCAGGAGGCAGCTGACCAAGGATTTGGGATCCTGGGTCCAAGCCATCTTTCCCTCTGTAACCAGTGAGCCACATCCTGTTTTCCCTCAGGATTAGGCACAATGCTGGATAAAGGTTTGGTTCTAGGACCAATGATAGAAGTGGAACCAGGTTACTGCAGGCCATACTTGTGGTCCAAACAAAGGCATTCAGAAAATATGAAGGGAGCAGATTTAGTACATTAGTTACAGGTCTTCTTTTAAAAATAGTTATTTTATTGTATTTTTTTCTATTACCATTTAGTCCTATATCCCCCTGCAATCACCACACTGTTGTCCATGAGACCTTTTCTTTTTTTGCTAAATCCCCTCTACTTGCCAACCTCACCCTCCTTCCACTACCTGTCATCCCACTCTTTATGATTCTCGCTCTATTTTGCTTGATAGTTCAGTTTGTTCATTAGATTCCACATATGACTGAAATCATGTTATTTGTCTTTCTTTGACTGGCTTATTTCACTTAGCATGATGTTTTCTAGAATCATCCATATCGTCACAAAAGGTAGTTTCCTTTTTCACAGCTGAGTAGTATTCCATTGTATAAATGTTCCATAGTTCTTTTATCGACTCATCTACTAATGGACACTTGGGCTGCTTCCATATCTTGGCGATTGTAAACAATGGTGCAATGAACATAGGGATGTTTATGTTTTTTCAAATTAGTGTTTTGGGTTCCTTCGGATTTATTCCCAGAAGTGAGATCACTGGGTCAAAAGAGATCCATTTTTAACTTTTTGAGGAACCTCCATACTTCTTTCCACAGTAGCTGCACCAATCTGCATTCCCACGAACAGCGCAACAGTTCTGCTTTCTCCACATCATCGCCAGCACTTGTTTATTGATGATAGCCATTCTGACATGTGATATCTCAACGTGGTTTTAATATGCATTAAATTAAATCAGAGGATGAGCAGTGATGTTGAGCACCTTTCCACATGTCTATTGGCCATCTGTATGTCCTCTCTGGAGAAGTTTCTATTCAGGTCCATTGCCCACTTTTTTTTTTTTTTTTTTGGTGTTTTGTTCTTTATAAATTTTGGGTATTAACCACTTATCTGATGTATCAATGAATATATTCGCCCATTCTATGGGTTGTCTTTTTATTTTGGTGATGATTTTCTTTGCTGTACAAAAACTTTTTAGTTTGATGTAGTCCCATGTTTTTATTGTTTCCCTGCCTGGGGAGATATATCCCATCAAATATTGCTATGAGCAATGTCTGAGATTTTGCTGCCTATGTTTTCTTCTAGGATTTTTATGGTTTTGTGTCTAACATATCAGCCTTTAATCCATTTTGAATTTCTTCTTGTCTGTGGTATAATATGGTGGTCTGGTTTCATTTTTCTGCACACATCTGTCCCATTTTCCCAACACCACTTATTGAATAACCTATCTTTAGTCCATTGTATGTGCTTGCTTCCTTTGTCAAATATTGACTGTAAAGGTGTAGGTTTATTTTTGGGCTCTCTATTCTGTTGCATTGATCTGTGTGTGTTTTAATGCCAGTACCATGCTGTTTTGATTACTATGGCCTATGGCCCAGGCTGGGAGTCAATCTAGGAAAGAACAACCATCAGCCTGTAACTTCCACTGTAGTTTGGTTCTTTAGAATAGGGAAGAAATCTACTTTTCCACTCGACAATTGTTCCTCTTTCTAGGTTATACGCTTGACTCCACAAGCATCTGAGATGACAGGATATGGTTTCTAAACTAATCCCCTTCCAGTTATTCTCCTTTAAAAATAGCAGTGACCACAAGTACTCCCATGCACCCACATCAGAACTTCATTATTTTGTCTCCAGCTTTTTCTCTCATTAATTGGTTAACACAAGTAAACCTTACTTTGGGCAACAAATGCTTTCTGAAAAGGAGAGTGAAAAAAAACTAAGAAAATCAAGCTCCATGAACTGGGGGAATCTGTTATTTAATATATTCTGTAGGCAGTATATTTGTCCATAATACTGTAATTTTTATCTGTTCTGTAAGATGTTTTATATGCTTTATTTCCTAAAAGTGAGGTCTTCCTATATATGATTTTCCTCAACTTTTAAATTGTTATAATAATGTAATCTTCTTTTACAACTCTAATGGGAATGCCTATGATAAGGTGAACAGTTTTGCTATTCTCTGAAGTCAAGGTCTATTGAAAAAGAAGTTTTAAAAGTTGTTTGGGTCTTCGCCCCACCCCATTTTTTGAAATGAAAAGTACTCAACATCCCACTTCCCATGACAGAGTGACAACATAAGACATAGGTTTAATAATTATTTTATTTTTAAATTTCCACCAACTCTTGCCAGTCATATTCTGCATATCACAGATAGATTATAGATAGTATTTCCTTATGTTCATCTGTATGAAAATTAGAGGAAAGAAGAGATGAATGAACTGCATGAAAATGACACCTTAAGGCTCACATTCAGTGTACTGCTGCATAGACACACAGGCCTATTAGCTAATGCTAACTCTTGTTCTGCTATCATCCAGCTGCATGACTGTGGGCAAGTCATTTGTTTTATCATTTTAAAACTATCCATCACTTGACTTCTCTACCTCAGAATCAGTTGGCTGCATGCAAAGCTATGTTGAAAAATACCATGCACTTGGAGTGTAAAATATTGCTATAAAGTGCTTTATTATTGGCCTTCCTGTCTTTTAAAATAATATAATTCATACTTTGGTGGAAGTCATTTGTTTGCAAAGTGATGCTTTTAAAAGGAACTCGTAGGCATTAATCATACTGACAATCTGGTTATGATTCTGAAGCCAATGTCTCAAATCTAGGAACCAGATACAATATTAATTATCGTAAGTTCTGATTAATATCTAAGAAAATGAAATGGCTTCGTCTTAGTTCTCCAAAAAATGACAATCCAAGAATAAGATCAATCTGAGGAGGAAAAAAACCCACTATGGCTTATGTGATTTAAAATACAACTGATAACTGGTGACTGGGAAGCAATTTTCACCTAAATTGAAGTTTATGTGTATAGAAAACCATCAAAAGATAATCACTAAAAATTAAATTTCCTATGAATTTCCTCAAGATTAAAATTCTGAGATTTTGTTTTTGAAAAGTTGCTTCTTCAGCAAAGTATTTAGCACAGACTGCACTGACCTCAAATCAATGTTGCAGCCAAGTGGGGCAGTCCTTCGACCAAATTCTTTAGAGTCGTGTTGCTTTTTAATTGCAAAATGTGTATCCCCAAGGCCTCAAAAATTCAAGGGACAATCCAGGTGATGTTTATAATGATAAAAAAGTAAAGACTTCGGCACACGGAGTAGAACTACATAATTAACAGTATCTGGCAAATTGATCTGTACGTGTGTATTTATGGGGCACAGCTAACCTGATTATTATAAGGTTTTTGGAACCTTGGATGACCAAAAAAAAAAAAAAATCTGTGAATATATCTTGTTATTTTATCAAGCACTGGTCATTAATGCAGTCTCTGTACTGTTACTCATATGTCAGTTCCTTAGACCTTTTTAGCTTCTGTGCACTTGAAGCTTTGGGTAGAACTGTTTAGGAAGTAGTTATATATGCAAAGAGCATTTTTCTTTGGAAATGTTCTTGGTTTATCAAAGTGAAAAGATGAATATGACACATGCTGAAAATGTGAAAACAACCTTGTGAGATCAGCCAATTTATCTGGCTACCAGTTAGAAAGTATCTTCATCTGACTCACTGGCATTCTTGGGTTTGGTAAGTCTTTCCAGTTCCTCTCCATCCTAAAAGGAAACATGAAATCGGTAATTAATTAAAACCAAACTAGAAATGTAGTGTTTTTAATGACTACCAAGGAGAAAACTCACTAACAAGTCATGGATTTTATTCCATTAAAATATAGATATAATTTGGTTACATGATATTGAATATATACTGAAGTTCCTGGAAAGTTCATTTTATATGTATAATAAGATCATGAAAAATTGAAATAAACCTGGGTGTAGTACTTGAATTTTCAAGTTAACATGAGCAAAGTAAGGAGCACCCTCTGTTGGTTTTGAAGGGAAGTGACTAAAGATTGGAGAAAGATACAAAGTAGGGCGGGCTTCTTACCTAAATTGATATTCTTATACCTAAAAAGCAGAGCGAACAGTGTTATCAGACCACTGGAAAAGGACATAGGACTTCTGAATCTATACTCTGGCTGAGATCATGACATTTGGGGCCCAAGATTCTAATTTTTACATCTGAAGAATCTGTTGTATCACCATTTCAGAGGCATTGTTCAGCAGAGCTCCACCATGAATTCTAATAAAAACAGACTGCTTTTTCCAAAAAAAGGAAATGTTCATTGCGTAAAATATTTCATACTTAGTGTTCATGGAAATTGTAAATTTAAATCTTTTATTAATAACAAATATTTAACTCCTTACTTGAATCTCCAAAAGATCATTAATATTTTGCTAATAACATGACTAACAGACCCTTATAAAACAGTAATAAGCAACTGGATAATACTGATTCAGAATAATTGCATAAGTGTTTTTCTAGAAAATATTTTTCTCTTGTAAGATCCTTTTGAAAGCCACCACCTTAGTGAGATAAACAATGCCTGGCCACCTGGCACTGTGGTTTATGAATAACTACAGGGAAAATAGGGAGCTACATCAACTTTTCTTATGAACGAGGCTTGTTCCCCCAGCAATGATGGAGTGGAAAGAGTAATGAAGTAGGAGTCAGACCTCATGGGCTTAGTACCAGTTCTTTTACTTAGTATCACATTTAGCCTGAGTCTGTTTCTTCTCTTGTGAACTAGGGTGACTGGACAAGATAAACCTGTGAGGTACCCTCCAGTTCTGTGACTCTAAAATGTTTGTTTACAACTAATGTTTTTAAGGTCCTTCGGACTGCGATTTATATTTTTTCTGGGACCCTGACAGCATATCATGAGCTCTTGCACACGAGTCTGATAGATGTTGAATAAATTTTAAAAGTCACAGAGATCTAATATACCCTTTGATAAACCAGTGCTAATCTATTTCTTTTCTTGTGTAACCATACTTTGAATTGGGGAAGAACAGGCAAAAAGCAGTATCCTCACAAACTTACCCCACTGGAGCGCTCCCAAAGATGGCCACTTAGATCTCGGATCCTTTCTTGCCTAGGTCCGCAGTCCAGAGCTTGGGACTTGCTGGCATTATAAATAAATATGGCGAGAAGAACTGATGGGGCTTCTAAGAAAAACTCCAGGGAGGGCCTGAAGTCAAAGACCAGCACAGACACTGTTGTGATGATGACAGTGGTGACCTGGGCCATTAAGACATGGAACATGTTATCCAAAAACTTCAGAATAAAAGCCACTGAGAGGCCCTGGAATGCAGTTACAAAAATAAGGGCTACCGAAAACGCATTGTGGCCATAAAAAAACCCGCAGTTCTTAATCTGATCACGGTTACTGCTCTGAAGGCCGAGGGTCAGCCCATTGAAAAGAATGCCAAAGAAATAGAGTTTGCTGTTCTGAATGAAGATATTTTCACTGAGCTGGTTCCCTTCCTTCAGTATCTTTTCATTATAGATATTGGCCATTGAAGAAGTAAAACACTGGACTATAATGAGAACATGGCCCAAGCCAAGACGGATGTGACTGAAGTATCTGAATGTGGCGTTCCACTTAGAGTCAGAAAAAGTCCATTCCTTTGCTGTGCAATTGTCTTTTCTGGGACACTCACTTGTGAAAAGGCGGCAGGAATTGGATGGGCTGAAAAAGGCATCGTGATGAAATCCATGTCCTGCTAGGCTATGCTGGGAAGTCTCAGTCCCAGCAGTGAGGGCCACAATAGACAGAAAGAGAATCAGGAGGGACGCCCACTGTATCCAGTTTAGGTGCCTCCTGTTCAAAGATGAAAAACAGGATTTTACTATTGGTTTTTCTCCCTTCCCATATCAACTGCTTATCCTGAGAACTCAAGACACTTGAGTACTTGGTTGAATAAGCTGTAGCCAGTTTTTGCTGGGATTCCCCACAATTTGCGTCTCTGCTTCTTAAACTTGGTATTTTTATTCACTTTTATAATAGACATCAAGATCATTTTGTCATTTCGCCTCATTGTAAGTTTCCTTTGAGCCTATAGATTTAACTAAGCCTCCTTTCTTCACAGCTGATCTTGAGAGTTTGGAACAACAATTTTATATCTTATTATAAAGTAAATTATAGCAGAGATCTCAATCTGGTTTTCATAAACCAGAATGTGATGAACTTCAGATATATGAATCCTTGCAGTGTGTGCCAGATCTTCTACATGGGTGAACTCTCGGCCCACTCCCCAACCCTGGGAAACCCTTCAAAACTCTGTCAAATTTCAAAGGTATTCATAACCCAAAAAAGACTTAAGGAAGCTGGCTCCCAGATCTATGACCTAATCATAAAGCATTTTACAGCAAACTACTGTTTGATAAGACAAGGAAAAAAATATTTTTAGTATTGAGTTATGCAAAGCCCTAACAATTCTTTACTTATTTTACCTAACAACAATCTTGTGATACACAGAAGACATACATTTTTATTATCCTGTTTTGTGGATTCATTCAGTTTCATAGACATTTAATAAACAGCTACTATGTGCCAGGCACCCTGGGAAGACAAAGGCTTGATGTCCATCCTTGAGGAATTTACACTTCAATAGGGAGAGAGCCACGAAACTACATGACGACACTAGAATGTGTGACAAGTGATACAGAGAACAATTGGGGTACACTGAGGAAGGAACACTTGAGCCTGTAATGGAGTCAGGTATTGCTTGCTTCAAAGAAGAAAGGGCACTTGAGCAGAAAGGTGAACAATAAACTGGAGTTTGCCATGTGAAAAGTGAATTGGTGATGTATCCAGGCAGAGGGAAGAATCTATGCAAAACCAAGAATGTCTGGGGGAAACATCTTCAGGTTTGAAGATGGATTAGTCAGATGACACCAGAGTGGGGAAAAAGAGAATAACATAAGGAAAGGCTGAAGTGTAACAGATAACTACAAGTTACAAGAATTTTGGAGCATTTGAGCACTGACCATGGCTCAAGCAATTCCTGTTCCACAGAAGAAACAACGTTCTGAGAGGTTAACTGACTTCCTCAAACCCATGTATTTATGAAAGGGAAGGAAGGGCTCTAAGCCTTGGTTTTGCATGTCTTCCTTCTGGACCAATACACATACTCAAAGATCTTAGCTTTTCATTAAAAGAATGGACATTTACCTATCTTCAGTTAAACTATTTTAAAAAAATAATTCCCCATTTTGAGGTGCCCCTCAACCAACTGAGGGGAAACTCAATAATTAGGTCCAAATTATGTCAGATAGGGCATCTTTACTGTTTTTGGTGGTAGTAAACCAAGGAACAGCATGAAAATAATTAAGTGGAAAGATTTACATATGTTTTTACATGAAACTGTACATAATTTTTAGTAGCACAATGATAGCGACCAGGAACAGATTTATGAGAAATTATAAAAAAGATTTACCAAGTGAATGAATGACTTTGGAGAAATGCTGACTGCTGAGCTGCACTTTGGTTCTGCGGGTTCAGAGAGTAACCACACTTTATCATAAAGTCTAAGTTACCCATCATGTTTCTAAACATGTTTTAAGTAATTTTTTAGCTTCTTTTTGAAGAAATCAGAGAAACATATACATTTTTTTAGGCAAAAATAAGCGCTGGTCTTAGTTCTATCTTTTGCCCCCAAATCTCAATGCTCATGTTGCAAATTCTTTAATAGCACCTAAGCAAACAAGGTTATCCAACTTTGCCAAGCTTTAGAGCAAACCACTAAGGCGCTGAGGCCTGCCACCAGTTTCCACTTTGAAGCAATGTCTACACTTCAAAGAACAAATGTATATATTCACATGGGGCTTTTCTAGAAAAGACAATTAAAATTTTGGATAGTGATAATTTTCTTTTCCCACTTCTCAATTTTCCAATTCTTGAATTAGTCACCGGACTTATTTTTTCCAACCTGTGTAGCCTTACATTTTTTGTATGGGAGAGGTATTTCATGACTATGCTACAGTGAAGTATAAGAACTATAATATTCTAAATGAAAAATGAGTTATTTATGGCAAATAATTTTAGAACATGTGATAGAACTCAAGCTGTTACTCTTAGGTCAAAATTTTATTTCCAAGGGTAGAAGACCATCAAATGCGTCAAAGAATGGATTAAATAAGGATAAATTGACAAAACATAAACCACCATCAACAAAACAATCAAAATACAACAAAACTGAGTTGATATTAAAATGTAATAATAGAAAATATTTAAAAAGCATTCTCATAAAAGATAGTATTAGACTTACTATTATATATTAGCTGTACTTTTTTAGAGTAGCTTCAGTGCTAATTTGCGAATCAGTCAAACTAAGAACCACTCTGGGAACTAAGTCAGTGCTTGTGGGAATAATAAAAATGGAGTAATTTTATTGTTTCTTTAATATAAATAACTTCCAAGAAATCAAAGCAGAGATATTAACCACAAAGCAAGTGCATGTCTAAGAATCAGAATTACTGCTTGAATATCAAAGGGTAAAAGATGTGAAAAAAATATTTTAAATTTTAGTTCATAAGTTAATTTTTTTAAAACCAGCCATGATACAATTAATTATATAATTAATAGTAGTAAAAGCAAACATTCACAGTTTATAGTATAAATAGATTTGGATTTGGTTATAGTTAGAATTAACTTTGTAAATATAACTTGTTAAATGCTTAAAAATTTATCAGGCCCATCTTTGCCCACGGTGGCAGCATTCTCTGCCCGAAAGCAAGCAGCCCATTTCAAGTTGGTCCCTCTTTCCCCGGCTTTGTCCACACAGACACCCTCCTCTACAGTCAGAGGAAGCTACCCAAACACTGCAAAATGCTCAGTGATTCTCGGCTCCAAGCACAGACTCGGCTTGAGATGAAATCTCTTGGTGACTAGGGGAACAGTACCTGCCTCATGGGTCAAGGTAAGATTCAGGCAAAATAGGGTAGAAAAGGTGCAGTGCTTGGCCCTGAGTCCTTAGTGTCTTCTCACCACTGCCTGGCCGAGGAGAACCTCCCTGGCCACAACTGTCTAAAGAGCCGCTGAACCTGCTCTGGGTAGGCAGGGTCTTTCTAAGTGGCCCCTCACCTTAGCCTCAGAGCCAAGGCTCATGTCCCGGAGTCAAACTACTGGCCAATTTCTACTCAGGCAATATGTGCTTTGCATCTTTTCTTTGGTAAGTTTAGTTTTAAATTGATATAATTTTGACATAATTCAGTTAAATAACACATATTATGTATTACACAATAAGTATAATACCATGTCTGTTAATTATCATTTAAGGGAAAAGAAGTTCACTTTTTAAAAAAACATGTTTTTGAGACCTTTGCTTCCTTACTAAATAGTGAGCCTTTTATTATGTGTTGGAGTCAACTTTAATTCCTTTATGCAAGTGCATCTCTTAATTTTATCACAGGAACCAATATAAAAATATTATTGCTTACATATATTTTCTCAGAAGCCAACTTTTAATCCTACAATGTGACTTTCATGTTGATTTTAAAGACTTCAAAACATTTTGGGAATAGCATTCTTTAATATGTTAGTTGAATTCTTTTCACAATTCATAATGAAAAAATTTCATAAAAAATAAGATGTAAAAGAAAACTTCAGTGTACTGCAACATTTAAACTGGGCAAAGTCAAATGTTCGTATTTTTCTATCTCTTACATCAATCATTAAATATAATGTTTCTCAGGAGGAAAAAAATCTTTTAAGAATTCCATATAATTTATGTATTGAAGGCACTATGGATTCAACACTTATTTACTCAGTGTCTATGTACCAAGCCATTCATTATTCTATATACATAAATGAAAGAGCATGCTATGATACACCACATTGAGAAACAAGAAATTAAAAAGGGAAAGTGAATGCAGAATTAAAGAAAAACAATCACAACAAATATAACAAGAAGTTAACTTTATTTTTTATCATCATCATCATTAAATAACAAATCAAACTGGAGTTAAGTACCCAGATCCCATTCCACTTTAGAACGTTTTGGCCTTTGCTTTTGCAGCAGAGTCTATTGAGTTAAAAATGTTTATTTTATTCAAAGGTCTTCCAAGAGATAGGAAGGACTAGAGATAGAATTTTGAAGTTTAAAAGTTCATCCTTTTTATTACTATTAATGTGACTTGATTCCTTACGCAAATCCTCATCCAGTTAGAACTTAAATCATGTACTCAAGTAGTTTAACAAAGAATTTGCCACTCATTATCATCTCTGAACTCCAAATAACAAATGTTATTAATCTCAGGAATGTCTTGGTTCCCTATTACTGTAATAGAGATTCTGGGGGGGGGGGGGGGGGGAAAAACAAGCCACTTCATGAATTCTTTGTTAAAAATTAAACTCATAACACAGTCAATTATCTTTTTTTCTTTTTCTTTTTAGATGCTAAGAAAAAACATTTAGAACATGGAATCACAGAGGATTTAGACAGACTAGCAGAGGAGGTGCTTTCCAGGCGGGTTAAGCAACTCGCCAATACACAAAGCCAATTAGGAATAAAATCCTGGCCTTGGGATTCAGAGGGCTCAGTGCTCTGGGTATATCATCTGAAACAAGGCTGTGCCGTTTTAAAGTACCACATATGCTTTCACAACAAGTTACTTACTTCAGCACTATCCTGAATAGAAGAGCTGTTGTTATAATGCTAAAATTTGAGAAGATAACAGCCATGGCCTAGAAAGAAAGAGGAGATAGAGTTACAATCCAAATAAAGTACTGACCTAAGAAATCTCCCAGCTTGGTGGTTCACCTGACAAGAAAAGCTTTTTTGGTCAAAAACCAGAGGGGTTATTAGGGCAGCTATTTCACTAGAAGATTAAATTCCATTTTTATTGCTTGTTAAATTTATGCAGATATGATCAAATTATTGTACAGGCTTTCAAAATGTGTTGAAATTCAGCAAATGCCTGTGTAAATAATCTGTATGTGCAGATCTGGAAATACCTACAAATGCTAAAGGTTTTTGTATGAAATAACAGTTACCATGCTTCCAAAGAATACTTTTCTAAGCTCTCAAAGTGGTTTACAGTCTTTTAATACTGTTTCTATGGCTAGAGAGAAGGCAGGTTCTGTTAGGCCCATTTAAGATAATTGAGATAGAGGTTTTTAAGCATCCTTACTATTATAGACTTGACTCAATTTTCCTGGTTGAACTATCAGTGATTCACTACCAAACTCATATTTATTTGACAGTCCTTGGGATTTATTCACATTGTTCTAAATTTTCAGAAATGTGTTAGTCAAATTTTATAAAGGTCTGTTTTCGTAAATTCAGTCATATTTCACATGAGATTATTAATCTGAAAATAGAGACACACACATTTTGGCCTAGAAAGTATGAAATTTAATTACTGTTCCTCATAATTGGATCTGACAATATTAATAATTTTTAAAAACAAATCCTACTGATTTGGTTCACCCTGCCTTCCTCCTTGCTGTCACTTGAAGATGGTTAAACTACAAAGAGTAACAACAAACTTATATAACCAGCTCATATGGGCAACATGCAGCTGAATTAAGGAAATAACAGTAAATCCAATAACAATTAACAAAAATTCCAAGACTACAACATTATTGTTTTTCTACTGAATTTTTACAGGTACCACTATTTTAAGATTTTCTCAATGTCTGTCTCCGTAGATGAACATCTGTGAACCACCAGTTAGAAGAGTTAAGAGGATATAAGGAAAGTGGGGAAGTGGCAGCTCTGATCAGTCACAACAATGGCAGTGCAAGTGTTCTAATCAAGCGTCTTGGCTGGCCTGATGACTTCAGAAAACTCTTCCCATGCAACAGTATAGATTAAACAAAACGCTAGAGCTCTTTGCCCTAAAACTTCCATGCATCTCTATTTAATTCATTCCAGCAATACACAGCTGTGTGATTTACTCTGTAATACTTGTGGTTGTACACAATCAGGAAGGAAGTGCAAAGCATACGTTGAAAGAAAAACAGGAAATTGTAATCTTGCTTTGATACTGGGCAGTGTAGGAAAGACATATAAATGTAGAGCTACCAGTAATCTGTTGGATACAAATAAAATATAACAAATATATACTTGTTGAATATGAAGAATTATGTCACTGTGTACAGGAATTCTCAGATCTGAAAAACAGAATGGAAGCAAGAATGTAGGAGAGGACACATTTTTGGTGAATGGAAACTTACTAATAATAACATGGATCGCAGAGCTGAAAGGAACTTCAGGTGATCACCCAGCCCAGGTCCCTGCCTTTGAACTGGTATAGTAACATTATTTTCTTTTACAGATGGGCAACTGACTCTTAGAGTTGGGGCTTGCCTAGTTACACAGCTTCTAAATTGTGCAAAAGAATCAAACTCCTGTTTTCAGCTGTAGTGTTCTATGAATCCCTCCTTTTCATCCCACTCACAAACTAATGTGGCTATATTTAAGAGGCTTCACATTGAGGACAAGAACCAATAAAATCCCATTTATGATAGAAATGTCTGAATTTGTACTTTAAAGAAACTTATAACACATTTTGGCAATGGCAACAGAAATGCTCAATTTATAAAACATTAGGAAAATATAATCACATGACCCAAACTGAGTAATAGGTAAGAGAAGACCAATTTTAATTCTGATTATTAATGGTTCTCTAAATTGGCAAGAAAAATACCGAAAGAGATTAAAAATATTCCTAGTAGTATCAGTTACAGGAAGCATTTAGAGTTGGGAGGATACAATCTCTATTGTTAAAGTACTTGTTAGTTAAATGACTAACAAAAAGAAAATGATACAAAAAGAACATCTATTAACTATATTAAGTAGGTATAAGAAAGAGCAGTGCACTGAGTGTGTAATTTTCCAAGTTAAGTCTCCTTGGAGCACCTATATGTTGAGATTAATATTAGAGGCTGGTGATCATGGATAGGATGGCTCAGAAAATAGGCATGTTGATTAAGGTTACACAGAGAGATCGGTCCAGATTCAATGGCCAGGGTGTAACTCCTGCCAAACAATCAGAACAGTTTTATACAGAAAACTCTTACAGTGAGAGAATATGGCAAGCAGATTTTAAAGTCAGTACTCAAATGATTCTGGTCAAACTTCAGGAAGGCCAGGGAGAGCAACTAACAATGCTAAGGAAAATGATTTAAAAAAAAAAAAGGATTAGCCTTGAAATTCATTCATCTGTGTTTTCCCAATGCTATTTTGTCATATTTACTTACAGGTTGAAGATAGGAAAGGACATAGAAGACAATCAAATTATCCAGGAAATAAAGAAAAGCTGGAATGGACCACTTCATGAAATTGAAGAATTCCCTCCAGGAAGCACATCTCAAGTTTCTACTTTTATGGTCTTCTAAAGAAAAAAAAACAACAATAAATAAATCACCATGATGAGAAAGCCCATATTTTTATAGACAGTAAATTATATTTGATTTTTGACATAATTCTTTAAAAGAGGTTTTATAAACTTGCTTCTATAAGTGCTGTTGGCTTTAAGAAATCAAAGACAATACAGAGTTTCATTCTCTTTCTGCACCCCACCACTGTGCACCGTCGCTGATGTTGGCAACACTTCAGGATTACGGATACTCCTAATTCCTGTTAACCTGAGGTAGAAGTATTGCTTAAGACAACTCAGGATACACTTATGGTTCCTCTTAATACTCTGAAAGCATAAAATCAAGGGAAAAATCAACAAATTAAAATAAGTAGAAAAAAACCTCAAAGAGTTCTTGCTAGTATTCCCCACCCCCTCTCTGTGGGGGGTGGGAACAGGAAAGGGAGATAGATGCTAGGTGAAAATTTATATCTGGAGGAGAAAATTAAATTTTACTAATCCCAGTATTGAGTTATTGTACCATTTCTAGATTTTCAAAAACTCAGGAAGGTACTATAAGAGAGAATATAAAATAAAATGAAAAGACAGAAAATTTAAATTCAAGCCCTGAAAATAATGCATGAATTTCATGAGATCAAGAAATGTATTTCGCTAACTGGAAACTTTGCACAGATTGAAACTCTTGAATATGACAAGACATCTTCTGTGGACAAGTCCTTTAATAAATTCTGTTTACTTCACATGGAAGGCAGATCAAAGTAGTAAAGACAGCAAAGGCTCAATAAGAATTATGAAACATGCATGAAGAATTAATATAAAGAGCCATAAAAGGCTAGATACTCTACATTTGAGGAAGGATTAATATCCTTGATAGCTGATGAACCTGGAGCTCAGAGAAGTTAAAATAACCTTCCCCAAAATTCAGTTTTCCTGACTCCAATGCACTATACTGCCTCCCCTGAAGGAAACAGGGACTGCTTTGCAATATGCTACATTGTAAGTCAGACAGCAGTAATTTAAAAAATCCTGAATTTGAATAAAAACTAACTTACTGTGTGACCCATTACTGAAACAAGCTAGAGACAGAGCAATGGACAGGACACTAGAAAACGTGGCTTGGAGTTCTGGCTCTGCCCGAGACCAATAACTGCATAAGGCTTTCTCTCCATTTGCAAAACATGGATAATCATATTTTTGTTTGTATTTTAGTGTCCTCATGTAAAATTAATGGGCTAAATGATATAAAATGTTCCTGTCGCTTCTAAAACTTTTCGATTCTGTAATTTTGATGTTTAACATGAATATAGTATTGTTTCAAGACTCACCTTTCTTTACAACCCAGATTGACACAAGCACACAGAATACCAGCTTCACTAGTTCTGAGCACACATTCACAGTAGTTGGAAGATAATCGTATTTGTTTTCTGAAATGTAACAAAAATGTTATTTTAACTATAAATTTTGTTCCCTACAGTGCTTATATACAGTTAGTAGAGTTGGTTTTAAACATAAAAGCTGGATTTTAATGTTAGTTATATTAAAATTCATCCAGTTGGCTTTGCTCTTTTGGATTTTTTAATTAATTCACCTAATATTTTATCTATTTCTACCCTACTCAGCATTATCCTTGAATTTGACAAATATGCCTCTCATGTTTTCATCCAAGCTGCTGATAAATATATTGAGGAGGATAGGGCTACAGACAATAAAAGCTTTGTGGCTTGGTATTAGAGACTTCTAATTGACCATTAATTGATACTCAGGGCCAGACTCCTCCAGCAGCTATGAATTGATCTGGCTGAATTATTACTCAGCTCACGGTGCCTCCTGTGTGACTTTGTGAGCCTTGTACCCAGCTCAAGGGGCACTCTGTGATACTACACTAACAAAGAGTTCTCCTCTCTGTTTCACTATCAGGGCACACACAGATAATATTTGTTTGGTACTCTGGGACAAATGGTACATTGGGAGAAAAGAAGGAAGTCATTTGAGGCAACAGGCAACTGGTCGAGGGCTCTGGCTACTCTAGAGCTGAGAGAAAATACTCTGACACCTCCAAAGCCCCATGTAGGGAAACCATCCTGAGGTACAAGTCAATCTAACTAGGAAATGAGGTTTGCTCAGTATGCCTTGGTCTTAGCTATTACTTCTGTCATTTCCAAATGCTTACAAACAACCTGTTGTATAATTTTGCTAAAAACAAACACAAACCTTATTAGGTTCTATTTTCAGGAATGCATTTTTCCTCTTTTTTAAAACATTTGCTTGTTTCCCTTGGTCATAATATTAAAAACCCTGACTAGCCAAGTACAGAGGAAAAACACCAATTTACCATTCTTTCTCCCCAGAACATGTTTTCCTCTTTTCTGTGGTTTTCCCTGACTTTCACAACCTAAGCATAATTCTTTATTCATCTCTGATCCTGTAGCAGTACCTATAAACCTCTATAACAGTACTTAACACATTGTATTATAGTTGTTTTTTTATGTGTGCATCTTACCATTAGAATGTAAGCTCCTTATGAGAAAGGGACCACATTAGCCATCATCTAACCAACTAGAAGACAGAAGATTTAACTAACACCTGGGAGTTACTGTTGCTTTGCACTTACTAGGCACTTAATAAATGTTAACCTGAATTTAGTTATTTGCCTGTTAAACTTTTTTCACATCATTCAAAGCCTAGTTAAAAGATCTCCTTCTCCCTTTTCTGAGCTTGAAGCCAGACTGAAATCACACTCTATTTTCCTCCAATAATACTTTGCATGGATCTCTATCATGATACATATGAGCAAACATGCACACACAAGAATAGAGTTGGGGTGGAGGCTTCAGAATACAATTCAAACTCTTGTCACTGTTCTTTAACTTTTTCTTTTTATTTTTTCTTCTTGTATTTCTTTCATGGTTGATTAGAAACTGTGTCTCAGCATCATGTGGTAACTCCCTCCACTTACCTGCTGCCACACTCACATACCTTATCTACATTACATCCGTCTTTATTGGTTTCCCTTTAGTCCCTCCAAAAGGGGCCTTGGTGCTACTATGCATCCATTTCCTCTGACTTCAGTATCCCCTTTATCTTTCTGTTAACTGATTTACTCTCCTTGGCCTATAAACATGCTTAAAACTCTCATCCAAAAAAACCAAACACTGAATAAGATCCCACCTGCTCCCCCGCCCCCCATTCCCTAAACACTGTCAACATTCATTATCTTCGTTTTGCTCACTTTCCATTTAGGTCTTGTCCCCAAGCAAACTTGTTTCTCATCCTACCATTGCATTCAACCTACCTTCTCCTGAGAGTATGGAGTATCTTCTCATTACTAATTCCAAAGGGCATGTTTTAATCTTTATGATGTTGCAATTCCCTCTGTCTTCAAACTCATTCCTTTCCTTCTGAGTCACATGCATTTATTTCTCACTAACAATTCCTTCTTAACATCCTCCTGAGCGTCAGCATGTCTGTTAAAACGTTGGCACTCCTTGGAGTTCTGTCTTTGGCTGTTTTCCGGTTTGCATGTTTACCCTGAATGAGCCCTCTGCTTCTAGAATTTTAAATGTCAGTTTAATACTAATGTCTCCAAATCTGTGTTCTGGAACATTTAATGCTAACACATGCATATGAATAACTACTTTGTAGTTATTCATTATTGCAGTGAACAAGTACACAGCTACTGGCCTCATGAAAGGTAAAGAGCTAAAATTCTGTATTCCATGTGAACTCAGTCCAGTCTGTTCTTTCTCTTAATTGTCTTCATCTCAGCTGAGAACATCAATGATCCACTTATCACTCCCAACAAAACTTTGAGCTATACAGTATTTTATCTCTTTTAAACTCCACATTCAATATATTCTCAAAGTCCTGTCTTTTTTTATGTTTAGAATATTGCTTTACCCTATTTTCTCCTTTCTGTTCCTACTTCCAATCCCTAGATTAGCCTCCATCATCTGTGACTTGAATTTGCAATAATCCCCTGACTGGCTACCCGCTTCCAGTCTCTTCCCCCTTTTGTCCATCCTGCACCCAGCTACTATAATAGTCTCTTTCACTTTTCCCTTCTGTTCATAATCCTTCAAGTACTCCTTACTCCCCAGACTCTAAGGTCTAGAGAATAAAGTCCCAGAACCTTAGCATGATTTATGAAGTCCTTAAATATCTGATCATCACTTCTCCCTCTGGCCAAGCATGCCTTTTCCCTCCCCTCCAAGTCCTTAAACCTTTTGCTCTGTAATTCTGAACTACATGTTCCCACAATCCAACCTGCTTTTACGCATTTGCTCATTTTCGGAGTCTGTTGCCTCTGCTTTGAATGCCCCTGATCACTTGTATTCTTGTGGATCAACTGTTACCTTATCAAGGAAGTGTTCCCTTATCCCTTTGCACTCCACATCATCCTCTCTCAGACAGAATATACCACTTTCTATTCCAAACTATTACTTCATCTTTAGTATAGAACTGTATTAATTATATTACATATTCACAATATGTTTACATGATGTCTTTTCTAATAAACACAATTCTTGAGAACTAGGTCTATGTCATATGCACTTTGGACCCTGCTTATATTTAGCCTAGGGCCTGGCAGACAAATGCTAACTGAAGTAGAGAAATATACACATCTGACTTTCCAAGCAGACCATTAAAGTCATGGTGTCATAATTTTATGTCTCCTCAGTAACTTGTAAAAGGTTCTCAATACAGTTTTGTGGAATTAAACTGTTTAAATATAAATTTTTACGTTAAAAAAATATTCCTTAAGCATGTATTTATCAAAGCTAATAATCTGTCTTGTCCCACTGATACAGTAATTAAGACAGAACATCAGAAATGCCAAGTGACCACAAAAATATATACTCTTGCTTATTTCAAAATTAGTTATAATTATATATATTGCTACAGTCCCAGAAAGACTGGTTGATTAAAACAATAGTCCAATGATATGATCTGTCCTGTATAGGATTGGATCCTTCTCTTGACTGATCCAAATTTCACAAAACATCAAAAGTTTTTCTTGCTAAGGAATGAAAGTTTAAAAAATCAAATTGAAGCATTTTTCATTCATATGAAGCAGAGTACTTGAAAAGGTATCATCCCCATTTTATACACAAGAAAACCCAAGACAGGAGAAGGAATGTGATTAGATGGAAGTACTCCATACATATTCCAAGTCTTAACTTACCTTCATTGGCTGAATATTTTACCAACAGGATGCGACTTGAGCTTAAAGCAATGAACAGGACCCCTAACAAGAATGTATACATTGTTGACAAGGAGCACAACATGGGGCGACCACAGCACTTGCTTTCCATTCCACTGTTTTTCTAATTGCCTTAAAGAGAAGAATAAGTTCATGAGCAACCCTGCTATCAGATTAAGGATACTGCATGTCATTGATTTGTAAAGAACAAATTTTTTTTTTTAGGTGTTTGGCTATGGCTATGACTAAAATGAAGAGAGTTGAGGAGTACAAGCAAGAGCTATGGAGAAGTAAATGAAAAGTGTCAAAATGTGATAAGTGGAGGAACTCTAGAGACAGAAAAGGCAAGGACCAGATTAGAAGTCCTGCCAAAGGTGTAACAAGTGGGTAACTGGCACTTTCGGACTGTAGAATTCTTCACAAAAGCAATTCTTTAACTTTCATTCTTATTAGCAGCTTTTCTCTAGAGCATGAGAATTTCAGATGTGTTATTTCTCTCCTCCGTTGCTGCTCTTCCCTAGGAGGAGGAAAGAGAGGTTGCTTGGAAAGATTTCGTTGCACTGCTGTTACCTGATACTGAACTAGTGCTGAAGTAGAAAACAACTTCGAAATCAATGATTGCAAGGCCCATTTTGACATATTGAGAACATTAAATCTCTAGCCCGGGAAAGGAACTTGCACAAAGCCTCCCAGTGAGAGACAGCGCACAGGTCCTGGGGCATTGGTGACAGATGGGCTTCAAATGCCACCAGCGACAGCTCCACTGGGCGCGACGTACACAGGCCAACGAGACACCTCTCCCACAAAGAGTAGATTTCACTCCACTGCCAGGGAAAGCCTTCTTGCCACACTTGCGCAGTAGGGATCTTGTCTGGCGCGCCCACCCCCTCACACGCACGCGCACTGCTTGAGCCGTCGGGCGCGGTTACCTCCGTTCCTCTGGAGAGCGTCTAGTAGAAGAGTTCACATCCTAGAGCTGAATCACTATCTGACTAGCTCAGCAGCAACTGCAGCTTTTAGCGTCCATACACGGGGAAGATATGGGAGGGAAGGAAAGGCGAAAAATCCTCTCCCACCAAACCTATTCTGAAACAAAAAGCACAAAAAGGTCCCGGTGGCGAAGAGCGGACCTGGCGCCCATTGCGCAGGCGCACTCGGTGATGCGCTTCCGCAGGGCGGGGAGAGGCGGCCTGATCCCGCCCCAGAGCGGCCTTTCTCGTATCACGTGTCAAAAGAGTCCTAAGTCACGTGAGGCACAAGTGGCGGCCGAGCTACGGCGAGAGAGTGAGAGAAGGGGAAGCCGGAACGGGCGCGAGTGAAGCAAAGGGGTGAAGACAGTTCCTGAGGGCCAGGGGTGCATGTGCACCCGCTCTTTCACCCCAACTCACCCCTCCGCTCTGCTGCCTTCCCTCGCGGCCAGTTGACAACTGGGCCCGGTTCGCTGCTCGCTGCCTCGGGCGCGAGGAGCGCGCGCCCTACTCTCGCGCACAGCGCCAGCGGCCCCTCCCCCTCGTCCCGTCCGTCCCGTCGCGTCCCGTCCCCTCGGGTGCCGTCGCTTGGGTGCCGATGCACGTCGGCGGTAGCAGGGACATTTTCTGACTCTTGGTCGCTTGTACCAGCTGCCTGCCCTTCCTACCCCGTCGCGGGGCCGGCCGCTATTCCGGCCCCAGGATGCAGAATGTGATAAACACAGTGAAGGGAAAGGCGCTGGAAGTGGCCGAGTACCTGACCCCGGTCCTCAAGGTAAGCCGGCCTGGGCTTGCCACGGGCTGTCAGACACACGCTCAACTTTGCAGGGACTGAGGACCTGGCTCTGGGGGAGTCACCGTGACCTCCGGCCGGGAAAGGTATAGGAAGGTGGGACGCAGAAAAAGGTGCAGCCCCCAGCCGTGGTCTTACCCAGCTGTGTTCTAGGGCTTTCCGGGCTCTTCGGGTAAACTTGGAGCGGATGCTCTTTGCATACTCGTGTCGCCCTTCCCCCGTCAGAACTCTGCGCGTCTGGGTACGTCGGGTTGGAAGGTGGTCCGCAGCTGAGTAGATACGAGAACGTTAAATCCTAACATGGGTACTCGTTTGAACTTTTTAAACGAAGGTTTTGCTTATCTTTAAAAAAATGAAATCAATGTTTGCTATCAAAATGGCATGTAATTTCTTTTTAATTTCCTAAGTTTTTTATAATTAGGAGTTTGAAACAGTGAGTGGTGATTGAGATCCCAACTTGTTAGATTTCAAAGGAACAAGGTGAAATTTGTAACATCAACTGAACCCAGCTAAGAGGCAAAACCTCCCTTTCCCAAATTTTTAGAATAGCTAAAAATTGTTAATGTGGCTTGAGCCTCCTAGATATGTAATTGTTTTTACATTGACAATACAGCATTTTTAAAGTGAAAAATTTATGGCACATTAGCTATTACAGTAGTGACTGATGGTTTTCTTTAAAAGATAAATTTCTGGAAATGTATTTAAGTTTTTATGTCATTTCTTTAGAATAAGGTCTTGTTGCAACTTTATTTTTTTGAGGAGTGAGGAATGATAATAAAGAGTGAGTTCTTGTCTAGTGTGGTTTTTTTTTAAGCTTTAAACTAAAATTTTACAAATCTTGGTGTGAGGATGAAATATCCTTGGAAATGGTTCTTTTCATTCAAGAAGCTATTCTGGTATGCTAAGAGTAGTGGACACTTTTACTTTGCTCCTTTACCATGACAAAGGGAAATGTTAGTTCTGTACAGTTTTTATATTTCTGAGACTGACTTTAAAATGGTACCTTGTAAGACCAAGTGAAAAAAAAAAAAGTCAGGAAAATTTATGAATGAGAATTTCAACTCTTCCTATGCTTATGTTTGTTTACTGTGAAACCCATCTTAATTAAGACTATTCAACTTGAAATTGAAAATCATTTTGACAGTTGAATCGAATGAATCTTTTGTATATTATGTTGTTTTCTCGAAAACTGTCTATGTAGGTATATGGCATATAAATAATACATGATTGTTACAACTTTTTAGTTTCAGGGAAGAGAAGCAAGAGGAAAAGACCTCCCAAATTAAATGTAAAACTGCTATTTTAGCCATTTGTATTTTATTGAACTTAGAGAATTGTGTTTTGGGAAATCATTTTACTTGTTCACCAACTGACAAAGTGTTAGCTTGTCAGTATGTATTTTTAGTAATGAGGAAAGCAGAATTAATGGCCCTCTCTTTGCCCCTCCCTGTGCAAACTGTTGGTTTGCAGAGAAAATACTTATAGTTTCCTACCAGACTTGGAAGGGCAAGGAGGAAAAAAAACTAGGTCCCTGGGAAGGAGATAATGACTTCTCACAGCATGCACAAATTAAAAAACCATGGTTTGGAAGACATAGGTACAGTAAAAGCCAGTGTCTTTACAGTGATCTTGGAGCCTCTACTCAATTGGTGGAGGCCCCTATCTACTATCATATACTGCTCTATCCCTTGCTCACTTTTGCTTAAGCCAGTCTGACCTATATGTTACTCCATCAAGCACTCTCTCGCCTCTGGCATTTGCCCTTCCCTCTGCCTGAAATGCTCTTCATCCAAACAGCCTTGTGACTGGTTCCTTTCCTAAGCTCTGCTCAGTAGTCATCGGTCAGTGAAGTCTTTGTTCACTGACCATCCTATTTTACATAGCCATCTCTCTTCCTGTACCCCAGACCAGACCAGTTTCCTCTCTGCCTCATTTTTCTTCGTGGTATTCAATACCATTTGGCTTTTTTCCCTTCACTAGAGTTTAAAGTTCTTAGGAGGACAAAGATGAGTTTGCTCTCTTTTGTTTACTTCTATATCCCCATTAACTCAAATAGTGCCTGGCACATAGTTATTTGGTCAATATTTGTTGAATGAATAATGTTCATAAATGAATCTTTGCATTTCTTCAGTCTGTACGACAAAATCTTACATGTAACTTAAAAACTTAGAAAATTGTGGTAAGTAACATTACTGTTTTAGCAAAGAGAATATTGTATTAGTCTCTTGGTGGAGATGAGAATAATGGGAAAGTATTAAATGACTTAGGACTTCTAGAATTGTTTTCAAATACTATTCCATTTAAAGGAGATATTGGCTGAATTGTGAAATGTCTAAACATCTTTAAAACATTTTTACTGTTCTGTAAAATAAAGATATTTGTTATTTCTTAAAATCATTGTATTATAATTATTTTCATGTCAGTTTTCTCCATTAGATATGTATATCTCATGAGGTTAGATACCAGTGATATATATACACACACACACACACACACACACACATATATATATATATATATATATATTTTGTATAGCCTCCATTGCCTAGGAGGGTGTCAGGCAAATAGTTGTCCACAAACATTTTTAAATTGAAAGTGAAAGTAGTATAATAATGTTATTCTTTTTGACCTCTTTAGGAATCAAAGTTTAAGGAAACAGGAGTTATCACCCCAGAAGAGGTGAGTGTTGAAGATATTCTGAAGCTATTATATTTTATAATTATACTAAACTGGGTGGCTTTTTTGCTATGTAAGAAAAAATTTTTAACTTTAGAGTTGGGTAAAAGTAGATTCTGTTGACCATATTAAAAGTTTTATAGGGATTTCTACTTCCCATAGAAGAGAACGTGTAACTTCCCTCTTGATTCACCACTTCTCATATTTCTCTGTAGTTCCTCTTTATGTAGAAGTGAGGGTGGGAGAGGGAATGGAATAGATTCCTATGGTCACTTAAACTTCAATCATATTTGTGTTATATTGAGCAGTGGACTCTGTGGTTTTTGTTGTCATGGCTTTGTCTAACCAAACATAAGTTTTCATGGCTTTCCACTTGGAAACTTTGGTTCACTGCTTGGATATTAAGTTTGTCTCAGTATTTAGCTTGAACATTATGTTTCTGCATATTTAACGTGGATTTTTTTCCTCACGATTTTTTCACTTTTTCTCCCAAAAAAGTAATGTTGAATAAGCTTAATGCTGAAACTAACGGCTGTTTATAGGCCTGTTGAGTTTTGTTGAACTTATTAATGTAGAATAATGTTTTAAGGAGTCATTATACTTGCTCACCAAATCTGTATAATAAAAGTGTTCTCTTTGTTTTATGTAATTATTTTCTCATCCTCAGAGAAATGAATAGTGGTCTAAAAGTTCTTTTATATTGCAGTTTTATGAACAGTTATGGTTGCAGCAGACTTATTTTTTAGTATTAATAAATGGCAAAGAATTTAAGCGTCACCTTTAACTCTCTTTAAAAGTACCACTCATTGACAATAGAACTTTAATCATGGTTTTGAAAGAAACTTTTTGAAATGAGCCTTGTTGTATGATCTGGCCATTGCTGTAAATTGCAAGACCTCAAGCCAGAGAATTAGTTGACCTTTCAGTTTTCAGTCGTGATGGAATTGCTTCAATGCCAAATCCTTGTGAGTTCTAAGAATGGTGTGCTGAACTGATCTCTTTTCTAAAATTTTTTTTATGCCCTCATCAGTGTGGCTCAGTTGGTTGGGTGTCATCCCGCATAGTGAAAGTTCGCTGTTTTGATTCCCAGGCAAGGCATATATACCTGGGTTGCAGGTTCAGTCCCTGGTCGGAGTGCATGTGAGAGGCAACCAGTCGATGTTTATCTTACACATTGATGTTTCTCTCCCTCTTTTTCTACCACCCTGTTCTCTCTAAAAATAAATAAATAACATCTTAAAAAAAAAATAAAGTAAAATTGCCTTTGTTTTTAGTAAAGACACATTGTGGTATGGAAAGAAGCTAGGAGATCTGCCTGCTAAACCTATTTCTCTAATTTCTCCTATTTTGATAAAGGTAAATCAATCAAGCTGACTAGGCACAGGCCTCATGCTTCCTTGATTGTAAAAGGAGAAATTTTGGCTAGACGTTCTCTGAAAGACCCATTCTACCTTAGACATCATGAGTTTAATACCTTCAATGCCAAATAAAACTTAAGTTTTGATCTTGAGAATCTTAATGTTCTTGTCAAACAAAGGTATAATAGAGACATGACTCTTGAAACTAAGTGTGTGAAGTCGAGCAGAGATGAAAATAGGCTGTTCTTTTTGGGCTCTGGTTTTATCTCCTCTACATGAAGAAGACTAATTATTAAATAGATAGAGTTTAGAGATCCATATCTGTGGTTATTGGATAGAATTAAGCTGTGTTAAAACAGTTACTAATCCTAAATTGAATACTGTTACACTTAATTATATCATGAAGTAGGTAATAAATTTTCCCCTTTAAAAAAGAAATGGAAGGCATAACTAGCCTAGATGGGTCCCAACTACATAATGCTCAATTGGTGTAGAGCAGGGATTAGGAACTGAGTGGCACAGCAAGAGGTGAGCAGCCTGAGAGCAAGCAAAACTTCATCTGTTTTTACAGGCGCTCCCCATCACTCTCCTGATCTCTGCCTCCTGTCAGATCTGTGATAGCATTAGAGTCTCATAGGAGCATAAACCCTACAGTGAACTGAGCTTGTAAAGGATCTAGGTTGTGTGCTCCTTAGGAGACTCTAGCGACTGATGATCTGAGGTGGAGCTGAGGCAGAGACAGTAGTGCTGGGGAGTGGCTGCAAATACAGGTAGGTTATCATTAGCAGAGAGGTTTGACTGCACAGAGTAATCAATCAGTTGCTTGCAGACTTATATCAAAACCCTATCAGTGAGTGGCAAGTGACAACTAAGCTGCATCTTGTGGCAGGCTATAAGGGTTCCTCCCTCGTGCCCCTGGCCTGTGGAAAATTGGTCTTCCACACAACCAGTCCCTGGTGCCAAGGGACCGCTGGTATAGAGGGCGCTGGTAGAGGAGGAAAATGAGAAGACAATTTGCTTTAGATAAATGCTATACCGAGTTTTTGGTTTTCTCCTACTGTTTCTTGGCTTTTGGCTGTCAGCCTTCAGATATCTTTTATTTTTGTGTTCATTGAGGGGTGTGAAAGTCTTGTGTTTAAAAAAAAAAGTGTAAGGCTTTATCCTATATGGTATTGTCTGACTAAAAGTACTGACTGAATGTACGTGTGTATGCCTTGATTGAATACTGGAAATAGAGAGTAGTTTCAGAAATAAAGTTGCTCATCAAAATGTTAATATTGATTCTGTCTTTTTTGGAGTTATTCATTATATAATTTTTAATTGCTAAGTGAAAGCTACTGCAGTAAATATTGGTAATTTAGAAATTTGAGTTTTTGTTTTACATTTTATTTTTCTTGGACATTATGAAGCATGTTATAATGGCTATTGCTAATGAGAGCAAATGTACATATGTATTACCTATCAGTACAATTTTATGTTCTTGTATAGTTTTCCTTACCTTCTAGTCTTTTTATTTATTTTTTAATAGATGCCACCAGAGGTACCATGGAATAAAATTATTGAAGTCTTGTGACATCAAGGCACTAGCATTAAAAAAGTTTATTAAATTTTTAGCTCTTTGTTTTGCTTTCATTTTGTTAAATTAATACTCTTTGGTGGTGATAAATTAGTTCCTGGTAGCCACAGAGTTAAGTGTAGCATCTGGTCACAATGACCCAAAATGCTTAAAACCTGAGGGTGAGAGTATTGTTTCCATTTGGGTTTTTGTCTTTACCTGACCAGTTTGAATAATAAAAAAGATTCTTGAAAAAAAAGAACAGAAACATTTGCTATTGGAAATACATTGCTAAATCTTGTTTAATGTGTCTTTTTGGAAAGTTGCTATCAGAATACTTATTTTATAGAGTATTACTCTCAAATTAAAATAGGGTATTTATAGGTGAGCTTTTCTCAGGAAGACATTAGAAAATTAAACATATTGTATTTTTTTGCTGTGTAATAAAGCCATGAACAACACATGATTTTAAGCTAGAGCTGTTGTGCAATAGTAATTGGGAAAGTGTGTGTGCATTGTTGCTTGAGTTGGGACACTGCAATTTTGCTGAACAGACTTTCATTTTTCTGCTCTCAGGAATAAGCAGGATTTTTTTTTTGCAGTGAGATCAATTCATGTTCATGTATAATGGAAATTCTCTAACAGTTAACTATTTCTTTCTGACTCTGTTTTTTATTTTGTGGAAAAAATAACTCAATAAACAAAAATGTGTATAAGTTCAGTCTTCCCTGAAAGTCCAAGGTTTTTTAAGATGCAATTTTGTTTTTTTTTTAATCCTCATCTGAGGATATGTTTATTGATTTTAGAGAGAGAGGAAGGAAGGAAAGTGTGTGTGGCGGGGGGGGGGGGGGGGCGGGGGGGGCAGAGAAGAAACATCAATCGGTTGCCTCTCATATATGCCCCGGTCAGGGATCAAACCCATGACCTAGGTATGTGCCATGACTGGGAATCAAACCTATCACCTTTTGGTGTACATGACAATGTTCCAACCACCTCAGCCACCTGGCAAGGTGGTTGGAGCATTCAGTTTCTTTTTTGTCTTGGTGTTTTCCAAGTCAATCCAAAAGCTCCTAACTTTTTTCTCCATTGTTTGGCCCTGCATTTCTCATTCTTGTTAATATTTCTTTAAGATTGTGAAAAAACTTTCAAAATTGGCTGTTATCTAAATTTTAAAAGATAGAGGAAGAAACATAATGTAATAAACTATTCTTACACCAGACATGTATCTATTTAGTAATTTTTTTCCAAAGATCTTCATTGAGTTTTCAGTCACTAGTAAGAATCTCTCTACATTTTATTTATCCATAAAATGATTTTTGATATCTTAAATCCTATAATGTCAACTTATACATTTCATGATGTGTATGTATGCCTTTGCCATTTAATCCAATGTTAAAAATTGAATTAAAAAATAGCATTTAATGTTTTTTTCCTTCTAAAATTAATTTTAACTTTTATGGGTGTTAAAAATTTTTCAGTTTTAATATTCATCAAATATCTTCAGGCTGATAGAGAAGAGTTGGTGCTGTTTGCATTTAAACTGATTATTGGGTATCGGGTACACAAGATGATCACTTTTGGTATTTTGACACCTTACATTCAGTAATGCTCAATTTTTCTTTTTACCTTGTCATATTCCATCTAAATCCTAATAGTTTGTGGCAGCTGGAGATCACTTAGTTCACCACTGTCCAACATGGCAATGGTAAGTAATCTTGCATGAAGAATAGAAAATTAATAAAAGGTATGACTTCATAATTATGACAGTTTGAAAAATAGGTTAGAGCATGAAAATTAGAATGACCAATCTAATCCTCTTTAGTAGATTTTTCCATTAAACAGTTGCCCAGTAATACTCAAAGTAAAATAAAGGAAGAAAAATCGGGCATTATACTTATTTTGTTTTTTGCTCCATTGTTACAAAACATGGGTATTTTTGAGATAGATGCCTTCACCTCCTTTACTAGTATTCCCTTTCTTTATAGTTGTTAAAAAATAACATTCAAGAGATTATAAATTTGATCAGCTCATTTTTCAAATTAAGTATTTAGTGAATATTTTTATAATGTTAATGCAGAGATTTTGCAGTCTTATGTTCTTTAACTGTAAAACCTTTTATTAAAATTCAAAAGTATGCTCCCTTTTTAGCCATAAGCTCAAAAGTTTAAAAGTTTCATGATGCCAATTAAGGTCTTCATTGGAAATCTGCCAGTAATAGATTTAAAAATGTTTTATTTACTTTATTTTTCTTTTAATTTTAGACATAATTTAAACAACTTAGCTGATCTCTTTATATATTTAAAATATTCTGAATAATAACAATGTTATAAAAAAAGTACAGTTTCTTTACTTCTAAGTACTTATGGTAAAACCACCAGACAGTTGCTGAAAAAGTGATCTCAGTACTGGCAGAACTATTTTAATTGTTTTAGAATTGTTTGGAATTATTATCTTGTTTGGATATAAGTTGTTCAATTTGATATATCCTTTTTTCCCCCCTCAATGACAGTTTTTCAGTTGTGGTCGAAAAGCACGGTTTTGATTCAGGAGACAGGTTTCTAGAATTAACCAGACTCTAGTTGATAATGTTTTCCTCAATATCTCAAGAGCTGAAATAATTAAAATATTTTACACCAGAGTTGAAACTCACTTTCATCTGTGGTCTTTTCCCTTAATTTTTATATTTAACACTTACCTAAACGAATGTTATTGCTTGTTATCAGTTGCTCTTTTTCTTTTATAGCATTGTTCCATATGTATCAAGGCCAAAATGTCAAATTTATTTTTATGTCCTTGTCTTTCCTAGACATATTTTTGTTCCATATTTAAAACTAAGTTAATGTAGAACTATCTTATTTAGTAAGGCTGATTGCTTCCCCTGCGTCATCCTGCATTAAGTTAAAACTATATTTAGGTATGTTTGGTCTATATTTCGTATATATTTTAAGTCAAATAGGTATATAAAATTTAAAATATTCATTCTGTAAACTAATTTAGGATTTTCTTCAATATGATACACATTTTCTTTTTCAGATTTCCTTGTCATGGTCCTTAATTATCTAATTTAGATATATGATATATAGTATTATTATAGGGATTATATGTATGGACAGGATCTTTTAGCAGGTTGTAGTTTACGGTTCTACTTTATGAATTGTGATGGTTGAAATAATTTCATTGTAACTTAGAACTCGGTTATACCTCACTCCAGTGTCCACACTTCGAGCTGAACCCCTGAGAGCAAAGGAACAATTCATTTTAAATCAGTTCTTGAAACAGAGTATTTCCATGCTATAATTTCATGTCTATAGGTGCCATCAGGACCTTATAGCTTCTTCCCTCAGGACTTCAGGCATTGCTATGACATTGTTGAATTTGACATTTGGGAAAGGTCCAAGGACATCTAGAAGGCTACCTGGCTTTATTTTGTTCTCAAATAGAGGATTTGAACTTTAGACTGAACCTTGAGAAGGCAGCAGGACTCCAAATGCTTATATGTTTGAGACAGACATCATATTCCATCCCAGCTCTGGCCAATTCCCATAGGTGACCTGCAGAAGATTCTTTGAACAAATTATTAATGAGATATTCCAGAGTAGCACTGAAAAATCAGAAGTGACTCAGAGAGGGAGTAGTGTTTAAAAGCAGAAGCCCTGGACTCACTTGGCATAATCCTGGCTCTTCCACCTTCTGACTTCCTGACTGTGGGCACTCTTCTTTAAGCTCTTGTTTACTTACCTATAAAAAGGGGATATTAGTGTTACTCACCTCTTAGGCCTCTAAAAATACACGTTAGAGATCTAAATCTTATACTTAAGAAGTACTCAGTATTTTTTGTTGGTTTTCAGTTATTCTCAACATTACCATCTTGTGATTCAAAGCGTCTTTTTTTATATTTTAGTTGCAATTTAAAAGGGTGGTAGGAACAGAGATCTTCCTAACGCATACTTGGTTAGATAATGTCATGCAGCTATTTTTCAGCATCATCTTGGTCTCAAGATGAGCAGAACTTCAGGATTAAAAATATAAATGAGATTATACTCACTAAAGAACAGCATTTTATTTTTGTTTAGAGCCAAATATAATAGTCACCCTGTGTTGTTCTATATTTTTTGTCTAAATTTAACCCATATTTCCTTAGATATGTCTGCATCTCTTAGTGCGTTTCACTTATAATATTGCTTTGTTCTTTGATGCCCTGATATTTATATTGCTTACTGGCATACTTCGCAAACTAGTGCTGAAACAGTTTTCTCAGCGTTGTGGATTGTGCACTGTTGAGATTTAAATGTGTTTTGTCTTTGCATTTATTTATTTATTTATTTATTTTTATTTTTTTGTATTTTGGTGCTTTTCACTCTTTTAAAGGGCTACAGGGGAAGAATTGAAAGTGAAGGCATATCTTCCAACAGGCAAACAATTTTTGGTCACCAAAAATGGTAAGAATTATGTTCCATATATTTTTCATTTTTACATTAAGAATTATGTATTTTTTTTAACCTTTTACTTACTGATCTTAATTAGTGCCTAAAGCTATGCTTGTGGCTGCTTTCAGACAAATTTGGAAATTTAATGAAGCTCTGGGTTTTCCATTGCTAAGTGTTGTATTTCCTTACTTGATATTCATCTCCTTTATTTTTGTTATTTATTTTTGCTAGAAATGTCTAGTTTTAAGATATGTTAGAAAAGGGCCCTTAAGCAGAGTTGGACTTCTAATGGGATTTTTTTAAATTTGACTTAATAATCTTTTTTAGCTACTTGATTTTCATCTTCTTCAGATTTAAATTTTTCATGCAAAATGAAATTGACACTAACTTTGACATCTGAAAGGTCGAAGCCAAAGATTTTATCCATATGTCATTGAAAAATTGCCTATAGGTTTAAAAAAATGTTTTTTAAACAGAACGTTTTATTTATTAAATTAATTTGAAAACACAAAAAAGTTATAGTCCCTATCTAATCATATAACAATACGTTGATTTCCATTCTAATTTCCTCATTGTAGGAAAAGGAACATATGTATATAAAACATCTGTTTCTTCTTCCTACAGTGTATTTTTTTTTTAGGATTAATCATTAATATCCTGCTTGTTTTAAAATTCAAGGTATTCATAGCAATTTCTTGACTATATATCATGTTTTTACACTATAATTGTTCAGTCAGGCTTATATGAATAATAATACCTGTTAATTGAAACATTTGCTATATGGAAAACTTGATTAAACCAATATTGTTTAATAGAGTAAAATTTAGAAGTGGATTTTACACTGGTTTATCCATTATAAATAGCTAGAGGTCACCTCTACCACCTCTAAGAATGACAGGTGATGGCCTTCATGTTCTGAGAGTAAAGCTATTAGAATAAAGTATTATTCACTAGCCTAAAGATGAACAGTGTTATCTCTGGCTTCAGCTTGCAGTTTTTATAGACCATTAGGGTAAAGAATTTATAGAACAGTTGCAGTACAGCCTTTTTGCTTGTCTTCTAAAAATAAGCTATTCAGGGAAAGAAATGTGGTTAAATAATTATATATCTGTGAGCTGCATGTAACTCTTTAATCATTTTTATTAGAAGTGAACTGTAATATTCACTAATATTTTGGTGGTAAAAATATATTTTATGATACAAACTTTTCTTAAAAATGGATTTATAGGAAGCAGGTTATTTATTATTTGTTTCTAACTGTTTCTACCATTTGTTTCTACCATTTTTTTTTTAATAGTACCATGCTACAAGCGGTGCAAGCAGATGGAATATTCAGATGAGTTGGAAGCTATCATTGAAGAAGATGATGGTGATGGAGGATGGGTAGATACTTATCATAACACAGGTAAGAGGTGAATAGAATGGCATATATTTGGTTTAAATTGTTTTAAACTATTTTACAATCTTTTATAACAGCTTTGATTTAAAACAAAACAAAGAAGAACATACATAAGGCATAGTACACTTTTACCAGAAAAGAAGCAGGAGGACAAATGCTCTTGGAGTATACCATATTTCTGTAGCACTGTTACTCCAGTAGCAGTTTGAAAATATGCATATAATTTTCTTTATGTCTAAGGAAAGGAAGAAAGCCAATTAAAAATACTAAGTATGCATACTACTTTGCTTTGAATCCCTTATTTACATGCCATTCAATTGCTGGATGATGAGCTTTAGGACAGGAACGATACTCTACTCATACTCACTTTACTCAAAGACCCGGCATTTAAAATTGTTTAATAATTCTTGAATGACTACTAAGAGGTTTGTAAAGATCACGAAAGTAGGCATTCATTATTGAATTCTCAGTATCTACATAGTATCTGATATAGAAGTTGTTCAACCAATTTTTTTAAAGGGTCTAACTAAATTTAAGCCATTCATAAGGGTATATTTGCATAAATTGTTTGGATCTCTGAATATGATTTTTAAAAATTCCAAGTCCTAAAAACCTATTTTGCCACTATATATTAACTATGTAAGTGCATATAATTATGTGCGGCTATAGTTAACTACAATTTATGACTTAGTTTTAGTGAGTAAATATGTTTTGAGTTTAAACCTAGGATACTTAAAATATGTTTTCTCTCTCTAAGCCCTAGAGAGTAGGAGGTATATGAAAAGTAGTGGTAGAAATGGGTCCTCAACTTTAGCACTACGAACATTTTGGGCTGGGTAATTCTTTGTTACAGCATTTTCTGGACAGTACAGAATGTTTAGCAGTATCTCAGCTTTACCCACTAGATGTCAGTACCTTCTGCCAGTTGTGACAACCAAAAATACCTTCAGGCTTGCCAAATATTCCAAAAGGGGCAAAATCCCTGCCCTTAATTGACATCTACTGCAGTACACAGAGGCTAAGTAATTTGCCCAGGAAGAAGGACCTTGCTATGTCAGTTCCTCCTCCACTCTGGATAAGGGACACTTACTGCCATCTGTTTATTTATGGTGATAATAGGTGTAGATTCAGGGCTTGGGCTCCTTGATTGGAAATTCATTTGTTTCTTAATGAGTGTTATGTCAAGGCCTAAAGAAAATAGCAGATTGAACAACGTTTTAAACTAATTTCAAAATTCACCCCCTTTTTTATTTTCCATCATTTCCAAAATTATTGAGCTATTCTGCTTTAGTTTTCCCATGACTGGAAGTTTGGCAGCACATCTGTACGAAATTGTCTGTTGAATGACTAGAACCATTTGTTATAGCACTAAATTTCTGATGTAAAGTTAATGAGTTACTCTGTTGTCTAGTTGTATTTTATTCTATAATTACTGTCCCCAAATTCAGGTGCATATTTATGAAAACATTCATTACAGATAAGTAGGTGTCAGTATGATAGGATTGACAAAAATCTGTTACAGAAAATTGACAACTAAAAAAGAATAGTTGCCCTGCTAATGGGGACAAGTAACATTTTCATATGTGGAAAACAACTTAGTATTCTACTGCAGTTAATTTGATATACATAATAAATTATAACTAATGTTTATAAGAGATTATCTTAGCATTTCTAGTTTAAATTGTATCCTGATTTGATTAAAACAATATTTCTACCGATTCACAAGGTCAGGTGCCTGGTTCCTTGTCATCTCTAGTTTTTGGGGGGTTTTTGCTTCATCTCTGCTTCACTTCTTTCAGGTTCCTTTGATTTCTCTTAGCCTTTGTATTAGTCATGGTCCTCCAGAGACAGAGTTAAGAGAATGTGGGTGTAGTGGTAATAGATTGTAGATACAGATATAGGTATAGATAGATAGATTTATTTTGAGGAATTGGCTTATGTGATTACAGGATCTTGGGAAATCTGAAGTTTATAGGGCAAGCTTGTGAGCAGGCTGAAGCCCCAGGTGAGGGTTGATTGCTGCAGCTCTTATCCTTCGGCAGTTTGGAGGCAGAATTCCCTCTTCTTTCTGAGGACCTCAAGTCTTTCCCTTAAGGCCTTTATTGAATGAGGCCCACCCACATTATGGAGAGTAACCTGCTTTATTCAACATCTACTGACTTAAATGTTAACAACATCTAAAAAATACCTGCAAAGCTACATCTAGACTGGTGTTTAACCAAATATCTGGAAACAGTAACCTAGATGAGTTGATGTAAAATTAACCATCATAGCCCTTGAAAGTATTATCCTCGTTAAAGTCATTTAAACTTTCTGTCTTTCCCTTTTTTTTTTTGTTTATTTGGCCAGCGTGTATTACTTTTAGAAGAGTCTGGTTTAATGCCTATTTAGACAGATTGAAGAGGTTTATTTTCTTTCTATATAGCGGATTCAATTGTTTTATAATACCAATACAATATGTTAAGGATTGGTTTTTAGTGTTATGAAGTAAACAGTAGTTTTTAGAAAAATTACTGTGAAGTAAAAGCTTTATGCTAGAGTTGTGAATTGTGGCATTTTTTTATCTGTGTTTTGACATACTGAACAGATACATCAGGATTTTAAAAGATTAGCAAAGGAGCCAAGCATATTTTGTATGTAGGGTTTTTTTCTGTAGTATCTTCATCCTTATTGAACTGTCTCATTGAGAACACTGACATATATTTTGAATTAGAAATACTGTTTAGCCGACTTGTGTCGCTGCTGTATGCATAATACCACCTTCATTGTGATAGTAAGTTCTGAGGAATTTGCTTAGTCAGGAAGCGGTTGGAGCATTGAACCAACATTCAGAGCATGTGGATTTGAATCTCAGTATCTCACTAGACTGGCTGTGACGCTCAAGATTTTTACCTCTCAGGAGACTTTATTTTTTTGTAGGGAGAAATTACTACCCTAACTACCTCACAGATAGTGTTTGTAAGGATTAAATAAGATGTAGAAACAATAAAATAACCCCACATAAAAGGGATATGGTATTAGTATCTTGGCAGGTCTTAGATTTCTGAAGCACATGGCATGTTAATATAATACCTTGTTGAGAAAATTTTGATGACAGTTTAAATAGGATGTAAATATGAGTCCTACAGTCTCTTACTCTGTTTATTTCTGAGAATAAATTTGTATTTTGATAGAGACTCACAAGAAAAGTAAATAAAGGAAAGTAAATAAAGGAAAGTAAATGATGAATGATAGAATAAGATAATTCATGATAAAATATGGAATTTTTTTTTTAATTTGAGAAGTGCCTTTTGGATTATTTATTCCTATTAAAGTTCATTTGTAAAAATGCTAACAGTGCCTCCTCATTTCTGAGCTGCTGTGAGAATTTAGATAAATTTGTTTTTATATTGCTTGAATGAGGAGAATGTTTACAACTTCAAGTTATTCTTTTTTGCACAATTTTAAACAGGTATTACAGGAATAACTGAAGCAGTTAAGGAGATCACACTGGAAAGCAAGGTACTGGTTAATTGTATATGTTTCTAAATTCAATGACCTAGTTATTTCCGTGTGTGTGTGTGTGTGTGTGTGTGTGTGTGTATGTATAAAGATTACTCATACCATTCTTACTCAAACTGATTATTTAGTATTCAAGCTCTTTTATATTCTAACTCTTTTTCCTCTTATTTTTGTATATCAACATGTCAAAACACTTCTGTTTCCCAGTGCTTCTCTTCTTTTCCTTAATCTCTCAAAGGTTAAGAAAAACATTTTTTGCGATTTTAACTGGTAAAATCTACTAATTTTTACTAATTGAGAAGGCTTCTAAGCAGGTGTAAAAAAATAGCTTTCAGTTTTTAAGTACAAAATGTTCTGTAAAGTGAAGGCGTTTGAAGTAGTTTTATCTGCTTGCTGAGTAGTGAATGGTAATGATACAGTTAAAATTTTGTAGTTTAAACATTTTCTTAAGCAATTTACTCATTATGTCTTATTTCTTAATTTACTGCTAATATGAGTTTTCTTTTTGTGTGTGTGTTTTTGAAAACTAAAAAATAAATTTCAGCATCATGACATTTTGAATCAGAGTGTAAGCTAAATTATATAGGTTGTATTGTATGATTTGGGGGGAAGGTAAAATATATATAATTGAGTGAAATTTTTCTACTTGAAAGTTTTCTGTTAATTCAGACTATATCAGCTTTTCATTTCTAAAGAGATTGATTGCACTTTTCTTTATATTTTTACAGTTCTTTGAAATGATGTGAAAAAATAATACAAAATGTCTTTACCCATATCTTATTTTGTTAACAGTCAAGTCTCTTAGAGAATAGAATATTTAGACAGAATAATTTTGTGTTTCTTTTTTCCTTATGAAACATTCAAGCACAACAATTACTAGTTTAAGATATTCTTCTTTGTTTTTGTTCTTTGGATCTTTTGGGATTTATAACTGGGGCTTAACAGACAATGTTAGAAACTAAAAAGTTTTTTTAATTCAGTGTACAATTTTATGCTTGTTAGAAATTCACTTTTATGCTTGCCTGAGCTGCAGTTCATTAGTCTGACTATCCTTTTGATATTCTACTTTTTGGAGAATTTGAACAAATGGCTTTGCTGCTTCAAAAGATCTTTTTTACTCCAGCCTTTAGTGTTTATGCTTCAGCTTTTGGGAATGATAAATGGTAGAGTAGTTTAGATAACATTGTTTTGATAGATTTAGGGAAATTCTTTCAAGAATTTTTAATAAATGTAATAGTGGTTAATATGGTATTTGGTATCCCACGTAATATCTTCATGTCCTACTAACTAGAGGATGAATACTTAGAATAATTTGTAACTAGAATATATCTTTCCTGTCATTTCCTGTTTAATATAAAATTTACATTCTTGTTTGTAATTTAGTGCTTAAAATACTTACCATCCAGACCCCAGGTATTAATCTTTGTTGTTGATTTCCACTGTATTCTGCTATATCAAGTACGAACATGCAACGTGATTAAAATTTCCCTCAATGATAAGTTTGTCAGATATTGGCTCATTGAATAATTACCCAGATACTTTCTTGTATTGCTTTACGTTTTTGGTGTAATAGTGGCACATATGATTTAAGTTTCTAGTGATAAGTAAAATTATCTCTAATTAGAATTGTCAATTATAAATTAGGTGAAACTAGATATCCAATTTTTTGACTTATCACACTGACTTCAGATTTTTAGAGTATTAGTTTTGTGAGAGTGATAAATTTATTAATATATTAGGCTTGTCTTTGGTTAGCTTTATTTCATTCTAGCATTAATACAGTTAAGAAACTGAACTGAAATCTTATGTGTTGTAATAGCTGTACTTGCTTAATTCAGCCAGTATATTAATAAATTAGGATATATTAATTTATAATAATAAATTTAACATATAAGTATGTTGTGATTTATAAATATATACCTTTTGTCTTTTAAATTTTGTGTTCAAGTTAATATAACTTTCAGCTAATTTTTTAACACTAACGAACTGGTTAACTGAAAATATTTTATTGGCTACTGTTTTTAAATGGCTAGCTTAGATGACTCTTGGTGTTTCTATAATGCCTTTTATATTTTTATTTTTTTTTTGTTGATTAACTTTAGACAGGAAGGAAGAGGAAGGGAAGGCGGGGTGAGAGAGAAATAGAAAGAAAAACTTTGATTTGATTTGTTGTCCTACTTATTATGTATTCATGGGTTGTTTCTTGCATGTGCCCTGACATGGGATTGAACCTTCACCCTTGGCATATTGGGACCATGCTCTGACCAACTGAGTTACTTGACCAGGGCTTTTTATATTTTACAGTCACAGCACTTAGCATATCACTTTTAACGATTCTTTTTGGGGTTTGTCATCTCACTGGAGTAGGAGTTTCTTGAGGATGAGGAGTGTCTTAGCACTCTTTTTTTCACTAGTTAGAACTTTGCTGGCATGTGGGTGTTCAGTATTTGAAATAATGAACATATTTAAGTGACTTCAAATATAATTGATTTCAAAGGACAGTATAAAACTCCAAGATCGTTCAACATTATGTGAAGACGAAGAAGAAGAAGATGAAGGAGAAGCTGCAGATATGGAAGGTATCTGTCTTCCAGATTTGCTTTAATCACACTAGAATATTGATTTTGGAGTATTTGTAACTCATGTTAAATTTTAACATTTAATCACCCAGAGAGAATTTTGTCTAGTTTAACTTTAATCAGTGCATAACTTCCTTTGACCTTGGAATCTTCTGTGTTACTTAGAGCATAGCCTTGACAGCATTATTTCTCCTGGCATAAATGTTAGTCAGAAGACTTTAATGCTGGGTATAGCTGTCAGAAACAGATTCTTAAAGCTAAGTCTTAAACTCTTTAAGAGCTAAACAGTGTTTGGTCATGTGTTTGTATTTTCTTTTTCTTTTTTGATAACATTATACTGCAAAAACTTTATAATAGTGAGTTTCGATGGGGCCTTTTGAACTACACAGAATCCCCTCACTGTTTCCTGATATTCTGAAATGACTTCCTAGGGTTGCCAGCTGAGAATCACTGGAATCATTGTTACAAGAGATCAAAACCCTCTGTAATAACAGAACAGAGTAATACAGGTTTAAAAGTATATAGCTATTCTAAGCTTCCTATGCCATTAGCATGATAATCTTTAATACATGTGAAACCTCAGATATTTAAAAATAGATGAAAAAATTGCTGTCACCAGGGCAAGCTCTCTGTTAAATTCAGTCTCTCTTTGTTATACATTTACCCCTGTATTATTTGATTCTATTAGCCATTTTCTCCCTTGTTTTTTATGACACTGGGTTTTTCCTCCTCCTTCTTTGACTGTTGACTATTTCTTCTAAGTCTTCTGGGGTTCTTTTACTTCTGCCCAGCTATTAAATGTTACTGTTTCACAGGGTTTCATTTTTTTTCTTTTCCCTACACTCCCAGACCAATTTTTATCTACTTTTTAAGCTTTTGTAATGGCATAACAAGGTCTGGCTTGGAAATTTGTGCAACAGGAAAAGTGTAACTTACATAAAATATATAAGTTACATTAGATTGTAAGAGTTTAAATATTAATATATGTATGTATAAAGAGAGTTAGCAGTTAGGAAAAGGAAGAGAATGTGAAAAAAATACAGGGGGCAGTCATCTTGGAGACTCTAAGCTGGCTGGATCCCCAAAATACATAAAATTTATGATGAGGAGGAGATGTTTTGTAGCAGGCACAAGTAGAAGACTTGTGCCAAGTAAAGTGGAAGCACAGTGATGGCAAGTGGTTTTGATGAGGTGACAGCATAGCCTGAGCAACAGAGGAGCCTTTCAGTTTTGTTTTCTAAATAACTTTGGGTCACAATGAAACCTAGACAGACTAAGCTCTAGTCTGTCTTGTCCTTGTTTCAATGGTTAACTCCTATTCTTTGAAGAAATATAAATGAATTACTTAAAACCAAAAGTTGCTCACATCCACCTCAGATAGCATCTCTGTGCTCAAGACTTTTTCGTATCTAAATCTCCAACTCAGATCTCCTGAACTTCAGATCTTGGGGTGGGATGAGTATTGTAGCTTTTAACTCGTTTGGTCAAGATAAACCTCATTGAGAATATGGCATATGAGTAAAGCCTGGTAGGAAGCGCGTGAACAAGCTATTTGGATATCTGAGGAGGAGTGTGGAGGCTCTGAGGCGGGAGCATGTGTGGCCTATAAAATACTGTGAGGAGACTTCTGTGTTCAGAGAAGAGTGAGGGGAGAGGAGTAAGGCATGAAGTCAGAGAGGTAACCTGGGGGCAGATCAGGTAGGGCCCTGGCTTTAACTCATAAGTGAGATGAGAAGCCATTGGAAGACTTTTCTAAGCAGAGCAGTGACTTAGAATGAGATTTAACATTTTAACAGAATCACAGTTACTGCGGTGTTGAGAATAGACTAAAGGGGGCTAGCATAACAGTTAGGCTATTTTGATAACTAGGCAAAACCTCATGGTAGCTTGGACTCAAGTGGTAACATCGGAAGTGATGAGAAACAGAATTCTGGACATATTTGAGGGTGGGGGCAAAAGAATTTGCTGCTGGAATGGATGTGCCATGAGAGAGAGAGAGAATAGTCAAGTGTGACTCCAAAGTTTTTGACCTATCTGGAACAATGTCTTAACTGAAATGGCAAAACTTTTAGGACTGAATAGTTGTCGACTGGGGACTGGGAGCTCAGTTTTGGATTTGTGGTATTTGTGATGCCCTTACTCAGTCAATGGAGCCATAAGTTAAACAATTAAGTATCCAGGTCTATAGTCAGGGAATAAATTTGGGAGTCATCACCATTTAAAGCCATTGAAACTAGTGAAAATCATCGTGGGAGGAAGTGTGGATAGAGAAGAGTACAAGGTCCTTAAACTGAACCGTTCATTATTGTGGAGTTGTTTGGATTTTTGATTTTGTTTTTTAAATGGTCAAGATGATGAAGAGGAAGCAGCACAGGATATAGCGAAGAAAACACTAGTGAGGTGGGAGAAAAGCTCGGAAAATATACTACCTTAAAAGCTGAGGGAGGTCAATTAAAATGAAAACTGGGACTTTAGCACTGGCTTCAGTGAAGTAGAAGTCCCTGATGATTTTAATGAGCATGTTTTATGCAATTGTATATATTGCTTTGTGTATGCTACAGTCTTGGAGGACCTTACAGTTTTATTATGCCAATGGAATTAATAATAGACTGTAGCACTGACCAGGCCTATATATGCTAACTTTCTCTGATCTGGCTCTCTGCCAGGTAAAGTATTTGCTACTTTATTATCTTTGGTTAGAAACAAAAGCAAAACCCAGTTTTTCTTCGGTACTCTGAAATAATACATAATTTAGTTTAGGAAATTATTTTGATTAACCTTTTGTTGCTTTTTATAACAGAATATGAAGAGAGTGGATTGTTGGAAACAGATGAGGTTTGTAAATTGTTTTCTTTAGTTAATTTTTAATGAGTAAACTTGGGATTGGTGTGTTTATTAATATCTTGATCTATCAAATATGCTTTTATCTCTATACATTGGTTATAGCATATAACATTTTGAGTTTTGTTATATATGTTTTTGAGAAAGAAAGACATAGGGTGGGAAAAATAGATTTTCTAAAATGTCACATTTGTACTGATTTTAATGGTTGTAAATTTTTCTCCCTTATTGCCAGGCTACCCTAGACACAAGGAAAATAGTTGAAGCTTGTAAAGCTAAAACTGATGCTGGAGGTGAAGATGTGATTTTGCAAACCAGAACTTATGACCTTTACATCACTTATGATAAATATTACCAGACACCACGACTATGGTTGTTTGGCTATGATGAGGTAAAAAATAAATATCTAAATTTAATGTAATTATTTTAAATTGTGGAGTTTAATTTCTACATAATTAGGCCTATAGATATATATATAGTGGCCTTTTAAATTTTAGAAGTCAATTGTTTTACAATTTACAATTTTATGGTTAATATTGCACTTGATTTCTTATTTTGAATATTCAGTATGACAACATCACTACTAAGAATTAGACCTAAATAATCTGTTACATATTTATTGCTTGGTCTCTGAGCTTATTCTTCAAAATGTGAGGGATATTGAACCTGGTTTGTTGATTAAATTTTGTTTAGGATTATATGTATTGGATATCCAGGCATTTACAGAATGATCACGTCACATGTGTGGGGCTTTTTTTTTCCTTAAGACAGAAAACTTTTTTTAAAAAGCTCACCTACTTAACTGAATTAAAAGATAAATAAAATTAACTTGTTTAATCTGTCATTTCAAAGACTATAGATGGGAAACAAGAAAATAAAATAGACCTAAAAGATGAGTTATGGTTATAAAATGTTTGGATAACCATGAACCCGCCTTTATGTAGGATCTTTAGTACATTAGGTGGTGGTTGATGTCACACAGCCTGATGGACAGATAGACTCCCCTCTTCCTTACTTGGTATAAACTTTCCCCCAAATAATCTGGTAATTTTCAGTAGTCTAGAACTCTAAATTGCAAGTGACGAGTGAGGTGGGGACAAATATATTATAAACATTGAGTTTGGGCCTAAAAGTTTTTAAACAGCAATTTCAAAGCATTTTTTATGGTTTCAGCAACGGCAGCCTTTAACAGTTGAGCACATGTATGAAGATATCAGTCAAGATCATGTGAAGAAAACAGTGACCATTGAAAATCACCCTCATCTCCCACCACCTCCTATGTGTTCAGTTCACCCATGCAGGTCTGTGTGTGTATGTGTGTGTGTGTGTGTGTGTGTGCGCGCGCGCTTCATGGATTTATTACTTGGAGAGTTTATAAATGTAGTGCCCTAACAAAAAAATTTTACTAAATAAGCAAATAAAATTTCTTTAGTCTTCCTTAGAAATGTTCTGCTCAGTTTAATATTATAAGAAAGAGGAAAAACTTTACAAATTTATTTTAAATTTAATTCATTAAGAATATTTTTTTTGGCCCAGTGTGGGTCACTTGGTTGGAGTATCATCCCATACACAGAAAGGTTGCGGGTTCAATTCCTGATCAGGGCACATTCCTAGGTTGCATGTTTGATACCCAGTTGGGGCACATATGAAAGGCAATCCATTGATGCTTCTCCCTCACATCGCTGTTTCTCTTTCCCCCTTCCCTTTCTCTAAAGCAATGAAAAAATGTCCTCAGGTGAGGATCAAAAACAAAAAATATTTTTTTTTGTTCTTTGTATGTGTTCAGCTATAGTTTAGATCTTTGTGATTTTACTCCTATTTTTAGTTCCAAGAATAATTGGATGATCATTTTTATATTAAAAAAATACTCATTTACATATGGTTTGTTGAATTATGGTGTCTCTGTGAATATGGAGTATAAAGTTAAACCTGTGCTTTTTCTAGGTGATCTATTTATTTCCTTTTATTGGTTAGCAAAAGAAACTGTGCAGAATTTCTAGTCTTCACTTTTTTAAAATTAATGAATTTTTCTTTCTTTATAGTATTTTTTCCATTACCATTTATTCTTTGACCTATTCACACTTCCACCTTCACCGACCCCTCTCCCCCTGCCCGCCCCTGTAGTCACCACACTGTTCAGTTAAATTTTCAGCACTACCAACTCAAGTACATTTTATAATTTGTATCAGTGTATTTTCACAGGGCCAAATAAGTAAAGTTGAATCTGTGTATGTGATTTGTTCAGAAGTTTCCTTTAAAAAAAAGTGTTGCATGTTAATTTTCTTTGTTACTTGTTTCTAATAGGTAACTTTCACAAAATCATTGAGAAATTCTTCATAACAGTATTTTTTCAGATGAAAATTTTGGTATTCATTCCACTGACTAATTCGATGCAACATTCTATTTTTCAAAAATTCTTTAATATTTTTCTTCTCAGTTTTTTACAACCTCTTTATTCTCAAGCTTTATCCCATAGAAAGTCTAGTTCATTTTTCTGATTTATGTCAAGAAGTGTTATATGGTCATGAAAAGAAATTCAAGAACCATTAGTTTTAGTTTTGAATTCTCTAATCGAAAAGGTTTTTATTTTTGAGAGTTTTATTTAGTCGATTCCTCTTTTGCTTTGAGGCTTTAGGATGGTGCTTATTAAACTTAGTAAGAGTTTAAGACATGTCTCTTTCTGAGGTGTAAATTTTATTAAGTTGGTAAAAGAAGTAAGTAATTTAACTGGAAATTAACATTGAACATTTTAATAAATGACTATATTATGGATTACAATGTAAGTGTGGCAAAAATTTAAAAAGCTGGGGGCCTGTAAAATGAGACTTCAAGGATAGTTTAGGCCTTGCTATGGGTCACCTCAGGTTATGCCTTCATAGCCTGAGGGTTAATGCATTTACTGTCATCTTCTAAGTTGAGTGCCTCTGTCATGAAGTTTATATTCATAAAAATTGAAGCAGCATTTCTTTAAGCCAGGGTGTATATAAAAGATCATTCATTACTTTTGTACATTGCACTTTTCTCAGTTTATGGTCCCAGGCAGTTATTTGGTATCACTCTTTTTGTATAGCACAGGAGAAACACCAGTTGGGTATGAAAAGATTTGTGGATAGGACAAAAACTTAAGATAAATATCATTCTCTATATAAATCCAAAAATATTTCGTAATAGAATTAGATAAATTTTATAGTATGAATGAAGACAAATAAAAAATATAAAAAACTTCTTGACTGACCAATTAGCTTTTCATTAATGCATTTTGGCTTATTCTGACCTTAATATTTAAGCAGTCAAAATCACAGCATTATAAGTATCTCCCTTTTCGTTTCTTTCTTTCTTGTTTTTGGACTGTTACCGTGTAGCTTTTTTGAATTTGCCTGGTCCGATTTTGTTGTTGTTGTTGTTTTTCTGCAGATAGCCCTTGCTCTGCAAATTCTGCCCTAGCATGATTTCCCTTTCTCTATGTTTCTGACCCCCTCGCCCTCCCCCAGCCTCCACCCCCAACATTCCACTTCCATTATAGGAAAGCTAACTGGTGCCATTGTGTGTACTTGTGACTGCCAGAGCTTTTTAAAATTACCCCCTCCTCCAATAAATCTTCATGACATCACAATCTGACTGGTTGGGAAGTAGAGAGAATACAACTATTATATATTAAAACTAATCCACTGACAATAAATAAGGTAGATTTCTTTACAGAAATGTCTCCTATTTGGGTCTAATTGATCTGTATTAATAAGATTTGTGCTTTTGCTTTTAGGCATGCTGAGGTGATGAAGAAAATCATTGAGACTGTTGCAGAAGGAGGAGGAGAACTTGGTGTTCATATGTATCCTTACCTGTTTAAGTGATTAGTGGCAAATTGGCTGCTAGGACTTTTGGGGGCAGGAGTCGGGGCTTAGTGTAACCTTAATGGCACAGTACCTATAACTTGTTTCAGCCTCTCATAGCAGGAAGTCTTAGTGGGAGTCTTCAGTTATTTGGAATATGTTATATTGTGATTGTTCTGCTTTGTTCAGTTGATTAGCACAGTCCCTGTGGGTACTAGTTAGCTCTGCCTTGTTATAGAGACTGAAACAAGTTTGCCAAGTGCTTTTGTTTGTCCAAGAGACAGTGTCCAAGAGTATGTGAATATAAAACTATTGCTCTTGATGAAAAAGAAATCCAGTGGGCTTATTTTATTGATAAAACATGAGTAATCTAATTTAGAGGATGACACAGTGTCTTTTTACTAAGTATACTTCGAATTTAACATTTTATCAAAAATGTGCTTTCTGTTCAGATAAAGGTAGAATTGTGGCAGTCTGAGGTCTCTGAAGCAAAGAATTCAAATTAAATAGGTTAAAAAGTAAAGTGCATGAAGCATATTTTAGATATTCTTAAAGTACAGTATTTTCATGCCCCCCCACCCCCATTTTTCATTTTTCTCTAGGGAGAGTACCCTTTTTGTGTCTTATTTTGATTGTCTTTGGAGGTTAATACAGTTCTCTGGGATTATCAAAGTGAGTAAATTAAACTGCTGAATCCAGAAATTCATGTATCCATAGCCTGGATTCATCAAAATTAGTCAAAAGTCAATGATTTGGGTATAAAATAGCTTGAATTAGTTTGGTGCTAGATTGATATTAGATGTGCTGGTTCATGTCCCTCAGTGTTAGATGTAGACTAAGGGTTTCTTCCTGTCTTGGAACTGCAGATAACCTAAACACTGCAAATAAGGTGCATCTCTCAGAGGTACATTGAACTGATTTGATACTGAAACCAAGAATTTTTGGTCCAAACCAGATTTATTCCTGAAATATTATTGTGCATGATGTGAGCATTCATCTCTATGTTAGAGGCTAGGTAGCAGCTTGGAAGACTCCATATATAATTTAAAATCGAGTCATGAGTTCCAGTAAAAATTAAGCTCTTAATGTGTCCAAGTAATAATGGGACATAGAAAAATTTCAGGATTTTATTAAAGATAGTCCCATTTAGCAGGTTCTGTAACAAATACAAATATATTAACCTCGAATCAGTTCTTAGGGAGAGTTCCCATTTAATTGTTTTTTTCTCTTCTGCTTCAGTGCTTTTATATTCTTTACCCCGTCTCATTTTCTTACATACTCAAGCAAATTTATAGGCAGTAAAAGAGTCATTATCTAGTCATTTAAACATGGACAACCTTGTCTTTATTTTTATATCAAAATAATTGGGCTTGTGCGAACTCTTACTCGTCAAGAATTTTTACATTCAAATACTAAATGGGAATAGAAAATCACAGCCTTGTGCAATAGACACAAACTTGCATGAGTGAAATTTTAAAATATACTTACGACTTCATCTTATGTATTTTTTCTGAGAAATTATTGCTTAATAAAATAGATAATTACAATGCTAGCTTAAACTATAGAGCTATTTACCAGTCTATTTTCCTTAGCCAAAGACCTTTAGGTATCTTTTGATTTTCTTGAAATTTGTACAAGCTGTCATTCCAACAATAGAATATGACTACACGAGACACTTCACAATGTAACGAAGAAAGCATACAATCTATCCTAATTACTGGTTCTGATTTGTAAAGAATTAACCCATAGATGTGACCATTGACCATATTCACCAATATGTACAATTTCTCTAATAAAGGGACTTAGAGGTTTATGCATTAAATAAAAAAAGTTCCACTACCAGCCTTATTTGTTTAATAAAAATGAGTGTAAAGAGATCATTTTTCTGGCTTCTTATCAAAAGGTGATATAGTATTTTTCTTAAATAACTCTTGAAGTGAAGAAGTACCTTATATAGGATGATAAAAATATTTTTTGTTTCACATTTATGAAGAAGGTATTTAAATGTGTGATAGTGTGGGAACAAGGCCAAGAAAATACTGCATGCTAGACTTCCCTTCTTTCTCCTCCTTTGTTCCCCCTCTCTTACTGTCTCCCCAAGACTCCTATCTGATAATAGTAAATATTTATGAAATACTGTGTGCCAGGAAATATGCCAAGTGCTATATTACTTGTTTCTTGATTGCTTTATTAAGTTGATACCACCAAAATTATTTTTTATTAAGGATTCAGTAATATTCTTCCTATTGTGATTGCCTGGTAGAAAATTAGAATTTAAAAGGATCCCTTTGTGGTATCGGATCAGTTTATAGTTTTGGGCATAGGAGTTCAGACGGGCTTAAGTGTGTTGTATTCTCAGACACACATTGAGAGCCAAGGAGTAAAACCCAGGCCCTGAACAATGCAGCCTGGGACCTGAAGTGAGAAGCAGGGCCAGGATGAGCAGCTTCAACCATATATGAAAAGAGCAACCAGGTGGACATAAGGTCTTTGATTACTAAAGAAAACAATCTTCTCAATCCTAAGGACCAAAGACGTGTTAACTATATATTCACCCAGTGTTAATGTGACAGGATCCCCTGTTTTCTCAGTTTAAATGAGCTGGCCATGTTAATGGCTAGGACACTGCAACCTTTTGGGAAGTGCTGCAGCTGAGATCATGGACATCTGCCAACAAAACCTGAAGAGCTGATTGATTCAATTAAGAAAGAGAAGCTGCAATACTCTCCAGGAAAACATGAATATGGGTTATTCCCAGCCACCATTCATGTTGATGATTTTCTGATAACTGGATATACTCATACAAAAGGATGAAGTTGGACTCCTGCTTCACACCACAAAAGAAGATGAACTCAAAATGGTTCATCATATTTAAGAACTAAAACTATAAAATTCTTAGAAGAAAATGTAGTAGTAAATCTTTGACCTTGGATTAGGCAGTGATTGTTTAGAATACCAAAAGGATGTGTAACAAAAGAAAAAAGACACAAATTGGACTTTATAAGTATTCAAAACTTTTGCTTCAAAGAACACTATCAAGAAATTGAAACAGCCAGCCTCCGGATGGGAGAAACACTAGCAAGTTATATATCAAGAGACTTGCATCCAAAAACCCATACCTACAAAGAACTGTTGTAACTCGATAATAAAAAGACAACACAACTTTAAAGCAAAATGAAACAAAAAACCCAGGCCCTTTAATGACTCATTACATTCTCATTCTATTGCTACATTGCTTTTTGTCCCTGTTCTTTATGCATGTAATTGAGTGGATAATGCTGCCTCCAGGGAACGTTACAGGGTTTTTTTTTGCTTGGTTTTTATTTCCTCAGCATTCAAGAATATTCTCCTTACAATTAATACCGCTTTATTTTTCTCCTTTTCCCAATTGTAATCCAATTCTTGTATTGCAAGAAAAGCTATCTCCATAATGAAGATAATGACTTGGTAGAGTTATGATTGTGTTTGATATAGTATAATACAGAGATATAAACATAGGCATCGTCTTTTAATATGCTTCAGATATCCTGCTTGTTCATGTAGCCAGCAAACTACTCCTTTCTTAATTTAAATGAATCTTACAAACCGATGTTACTGAAAGGTTCTATTTTTGAGTATCTTTAAATGATACGCAAGATTAGATACCACATTGTCAATATTTTTTCTCCCAGTTTTATTTATCAAAAGTAGATACACTCATCTTTAAAAAAATCTTTTAATTTTTCAGTTGCAGTTGACATTTCAATATTACATTAGTTTCAGGTGTATAATGTAGTGGTTGGACATTATATAAATTAAGGAAGTGATGCCCCCACTAGGCCTTGCACCCACCTGACACCATATCTAGTGATTACTCACTATATTTTTAAAATTTCTTTACATCCCTGTGACTATTTTGTAACAGTCAATTTATACTTCATCCCTTTACCTTTTCACCCAGTCCCTCCCAACCTGCTTTCCCATCTGGCAGCCATCTGTATCTTTGTTGCTGTTTTGTTCCTTTGTTTTTTTAGATTCCACATGTAAGTGAAATACGATATTTGTCCCTGTCTTTCATATTTCACCCAGCACAATCCCACCAGGTCCATCTTTGCATCTGTGTTTGTGGGGGATATTGGCAGTGGTTTTCTTCTAATGTCTTTGATTTTGGTTTTACGGTAATGACCTCATAATGAGTTGGGAAGTATTTCTTGTTAAAGATACTGTATAGAATTAGAATTTGCTAGTGAAACCCTTTGGGCCTTGGGATTTTCTGGGAAGTTTTAGGACTATTTCTTTTTGAGTTTAGTGACCTGTGTTCATTTTGAAGGAATTTTGTTCTGTGGTGGAGATAGAGGGGAAAGATTCTGGTGAAGTGTCTGCCTCTTATGCACAGTTGATGTTTCCTTGCCCCAGGCCTCACCATAATGGGCTCCTTTTAGGGCTCTTTCCTGTTCTTTGTTTTGACAGGAAGAGCCTGTGTACCTGTGAGGGGATGCAGACTCCCCAGGACTTTTAGTCTCAGGGTTGACACCATTCTGCTATTCTCTATCCTGCCCATACCTCTTTGCCAGCTGTTTCAGCTGTGTCATCTCTTCTCTCCCTGCAGAGAAAGTTTTGGACCAATTGTTTCCTCTGCAACCTCAGGTTCAAATTTAAAATCTTCAGTTTTAAGCTCATTTCGCTCTTTTTTGCTGTAGGGGTAGAATCAACATTTTTTTCCCAGCTCTCTGCATCCCAAGGCAGAAGTCTCTTAAAACACCAATTTAATTTCAAGATATACTTCTCAGTTAAGTCAAGTGATAGGAGAATGTTTATTATGACTTGCACTTAAATGATTCAAACTACAGTACACAATGATGTGACAGTATACAGTGTACTATTTGTCATATAACCATGTTGATATTACAAATTTTAAGTTTAAAAAATAGTTGGTGTATATTCAAATAAATCAATGATTTGAGAGGTCCCAAAGCACTCTGAAGAATTTGTTTAAAGGATGTGCAGTCCATTTTGTAGGATTTTGGGCTTCTCTTTCGAGAAAGTAGAGACAACCAAGCAGCTTAAGCCTATCAATAGATTCTCCTAAAAATGTTAGGTAATAGAAGACTTGTAGAAGGAATTCTGTTATAAGCATATAAGCTCTCATAAACTAATTCACAGATAAAGTGTATTGCTTGTTAAGCTACAGAATGGAGACTGCTTTGCATTTGCAACTTTCACTTTTTCTACTTCCAAAGATTTAAAGGAGCATATTCTTGCAGTAAAAAATGATACATGCCTGCAATTCAGTAAATCTGCTTTGTTTAGCATATAGAAGTAAGCCAAAAACTCTTGTGAAGGATAGAATTATAAACTTTCTAGAAGAAAATGTAAGAAAATAGCTTGTCATCTAGAATATAGATGGGCTTTTTAAATACAGCCTTACCCACCCAGCACGGACCATAATGCAGAAAAAAAATTTTTATACCAAAATTATGAATTCATTTTAAAAAAATACTATAGTCAAATTTAGTAGACAAATAGTTCAGAAGGGGATATTTGTAAAGTCTAAAACTGACCGGACTCATCTTTTTTGACTATACATAATGTTCTATATGCCAGCAACAAAGGACATAAGTGTATTAGTTAACCTGTTGTTGCATAACAAATTACCTCAAAATGTAATGGCTTTAAACACTAATAAGCACTCTTCTCAGTTTCTATAGGTCAGGAATTTGGGAGTGGTTTAGCTTTGTGCTTCTGCATCATGGTGTCATGATTTTGCGGTCAGCATATTGGCCACAGTTGCAGAATACTGGAAGGCTTGACTGGAGCTGGAGGATCCAATTCTATGCCCTTGCCAGATGGCAAATTGGTGCTGGCTGGTGGCTGTTTCTCACTTTGTGGTTCTCGATAAGGCTTTTTGAGTGTCTTCAAGATGTAACAGTGGGCTTCTTCTCCAAGAGCAGCTCATTTAAGAGTAAGGCAGAAGCCAAGGTACCTTATGACCTCATCTCAGAATTTATACACTAATTTTCTCACAGATCAGTCCTGCCCAGTTTGGGAAGGAACTGCAGAAAAATGTGAATACCAGGAGTCAAGGATCAGTGTGGGCTATCTTGCAGGCTCACTACAACAGCCAATAATCCTGATCTTCTAAAATAGATGACATGAATGAACAGTATTTAGAAGAAGAATCCCAAAAGGCTAACGAGTGTGTTAAGACACTTAAACATCAGGGAGATGTTAGTTAAAACAACAAGATCCTGCTTTATACCTATTTAGTTGGCAAACAGTTGGATAATGATAAGTATTCAAAGAGATGTGGAGATAGGGGAACACTGTGCACTGCTGATGGGGTGCAGACTCGTACAGCCATTACCACTCCTACCCTACTTTAGATGCTAATCACCAGCAGGTCCCCAATATTCACAAATGTCCAAGTTGGCTACAGATCAAAGGTTCCCGTGACCCGCCACCTCATATTTACAGGTCACAGAACTCGGGAACACTTACGTTTACCAGTTTATTAAAGGCTAAGATGAAGTATATAGATGAACAGCCAGAAGAGATACATCGAGGCCTGGGGGTAAGCATCTGGAGCACAAGTGCTTCTGTCCCCATGGGTTTGGGGTGCATTGCCTTCCTGGTGTGAATGCATTCACCAACCCAGAAGTTGTCTGAGCCCCTACTATTTGGATTTTATGGAGGTTTCCTCACATAGTCATGAACGATTAACTATGTTCCTAGCCCCTCTTCCTCTCCTGAGGATGTGGGGTGGGACACAAAATTCTAGTCATGGCTGTTTTCTAAACTCCAGCGCTCATCCAAGAGCCCACCCAGAGCTGCCTCAGTAGAACTAGAGATGTTCCTGGTGCTCTTATCACTTAGTAATTTACAAAGGGTTTAAGGAGCCTTGTGTCAGGAACCAGGGACACAGACCAGTACACATATTATAATTTCACTGGGGTTATGCTGGAGGATGCTTTTATCGTTGGTTACAAGTTACTATACAGTAATTAGAAACAAGACACACGTGAAACAACATGGATAGACCTTTAACAGAGTTCTGAATCAAAAACTAAGCCTTAGCTATTTCCTTTGTCATTTCCTCCGTTTTCCATTTTTATTTGGTTATCTATTTGACATCACAAAAATAACATATCTAACCCAAAACTCCCAATTTATCACCACAGCCACATAGCAACTATTATAACCAAACTGCCAGCAATAAAAACACATTCTTCCAATCTTCCCATTTCAGTTAATGCCACTACTGCCCACCCAGTTGAGCCCTAGATCCTGGTAACGATCTTTAATTCCTCTTTCTCTTCACCCCTACCCCACTAACACCTTCTGTCTCTTGGTAACAAGTCCTGTCCTCCACGATCCATCTTGATGCCTGGGATTCTTGTGTATTGAACCAGCAACTCATGTGATTGTAATGCAGGAGATTTCATCTATCACACTTTAAGAAATACTAAGAAACTTTCCTGCTCATAGTTGAGGAGTAAGCTTTTCCTTTTTGATAAGTTTTGGGACTTTTCAAGGGGGAAAAATTAGAGGAAGATGTTTATTTTGGGCTTTTCAGAATAAAAATTGTTTTTGTGGTGCCATTGTTAAAGTGCAGCAGCAGGTCTCAGATGGTAATACCTTTCCAGATTTCTCTCCAGTAGAGCAGATAACATTAAAGTTTACATTTAATGAACAGGAAATAGCTAAGAGATGGCTCTAGAGCCAATAATTAATTCCCAGGTCCCTTAGGTTGTTTCATCTTGGTTGGTTTACTTGCCACTGAACCTCCAGGCTCCTCACCTACAAACTGAGGATAGCTTTTTATAGTTTTAAGAGTTTTTAGGAGGATTACACATAGAGCACTTAGCACAGAGCTTGACCTTTATGCTGCTGCTAAAATGGTGATGACAATGATCATACTTTGCTACTGCTTTGAACTAGCTTTAAGGTCACAGTTATTCCACACATCCAGCAGGGGGCAGTGGAATAGCACACGATTTGAGTACTTCAGCACTGGAGATGTCAGTTACCAAAAATCACATCTCCCACTTTCTCCTGCTATTTTTATTTCTATGGTGGAAGAAGATAGATGGTAAACCTCCTTTATAAAATATTTGAGATTCCCATCCCTCCATTTACTGAAGGACAGTGATGCATCCCGTTTACCCAGTCAGTGTTTCCTTTGTAATTAGTCACAGTTTCAGCCTTCGAACATCGTTCCTCTCCTTCATATCTACTTTTCTAAAATGAGGGAATGGACTAATTTTTTATTGCTTTATTAATCAAATTTTAATGCATTTAAAGTGTACAACATGATGAATTCATAGATGAGTACATTGTGAAAGGATTCTTACAATCAAGTTATATCTTTCACCTCACCTTTTTACAGCCCACCCTTTCTTTGGAAAAAAAATTAATTTTTTTTTCTTTTTTTCCCTCCGGGGGGTTTTTTTTTTTTAAGTTTTTTTT